AGTGTATCACACTTAAAAAGCAGGCACTCTACTTTGAGCCACACCTTCAGTCCATTTTGTTCTGGTTATTTTGGAGACAGGGTCTTTCAAACTATTTCCCTGGCCTGGCTTTGAAATGCAATCCTCCTGATCTCAGTTTTCCAAGTAGCTAGGATTACAGGCGTCAACCATGGGTGCCTGCTTTCTAGCCCCCCTCTTCTTACCACTGACATGTTTAGGGCTCCTTTTACTTATGCAGAAACCCACCAGGCAGGCCACTGTGTGGATAAATGGATATATGTAGACCTTTCATTTCTTTCATTTTTGGTCAGTGTTGGGGTTTGAACTCAGGGCTTGTGCTTGCTAGCCAGGTGCTCCATCACTTGATCCAAGCCATGTCTCCAACTTTTTTTGTTCTAGTTATTTTTGGGATAGGATCTCACTTTTTTTTTTTTCCTCTTTATTTATGCTTCCTGTATAGCTGAGATGATAGGCGCACACCACCACACCAAGCTATTGGTTGAGATAGGGTCTTTCTTGATAACTTTTTCCTCTGGCTGACCTTGACTGAAATCCTTCTGATGTCTACCTTTCAAGTCACTAGGATTATAGGCATGAGCCACTACACCTGCCTGATTATCAGAAGGTGTTCCTCAACCCTTCCCCTGCAGACTGATCATAGTAGGGGTAGATCAAGATTTATAAGTCTGGGAGTTAGGATTGATTCCCTAACTCCTTAGACGAGGGTGGCCACTAGGGAGAAAGATGGGGAGGGGTGCATTGCAAGACAGCCCGGGCAAATAGTTTGTGAGATACCATCTCCAAAATAGCCAGAGCAAAAAAGACTGGAGGTATGGCTCAAGTGTTAGAGCATCTGCTTTGCAAGCCCTGAGTTCAAACCCCAGTCCCACCAAAACAAAGGTGTGTGGGGGGGTTTCAGGTTTCTTCAAGGAGATATTTAGTGAGGAATAAGAAGGAAGTTGTCATCTTTGCTATGACAGGCTAAATACAGGGCTACTTAACTCAGACTTTAGGGGGTCAGGAGAAATGCTCTGGAGGAAGTGATGACCAAGATGAGGTAGGCAATACCTTAGAAATGGAAGCTTGGAGGTAAAAGAGCACAGGAGAAATTGGGGGTAATATACTTCAATCTGGCTAGAGAATAGAGGGCACAATGGGGTAGTGATGATACAGAAAAAAGAAGTTGGATCTTCTACAACAAATGACCTATAAATTTACATGTCAAATTGAGACACTTCTGAAAGTGAATCAAAACAAGACTAACAATTTTGTAGACCCAACAGGTGTAAACCAGGAACTGCTGGAGCAAATCAGGGTCATGTTCCACCTACTTGTAAGTCACATGCAGGAGCTTGGACCTTCAGTGAAAGCATGAGTGCATATCTTCTTTTTATGTCTTACACATTTTACCTGAGTGACTCCATCCATACCTTTGCCTTTATTTGTACATTTCAAAGTATTTATTGAGGACACTGGGGTTACAAAGAAGAAATGGCTGTTGGAATGGCTCAAGTGGTGAGAAAGCCTGCCTAGCAAGAGTTCAAACCCCAGTGCCGCCAAAAAACAAACAAAGAAACAAAATACCCAATACCAAAAAGGGCTGGTGGAGTGGCTCAAGTGCTGGAGTGCCTGCCTACCAAATGTCAGTAACACTAAAAAATAAAATAAAATAAAATAAGTAAATAAATAAATAAAAATTTTTAGGCTGGCGGAGTGCCTCAAAGTGGTAGAGTGCCTGCCTGCCTAGCAAGAGTGAGGCCCTGAGTTCAAGCCCTAGTACTGTGAAAAACAACAACAACAACAAAAAACCAAACAAAGACAAAGAAGAAACAACATTGTCCTCAAGCTTTGTCTGGGGAAGGCACAAAGAATCAATTCTACTGTAGTTATAGTTTTATCCCTGACCTCTCTCCACTGAATCCTGGACTCGTATTTGTCATTTCTAGTTAGTATGTGAAACACAGATCCAAAACAGAACTCTTAATTTCTCCTTCAAATTTGTCTGCTTTCAGATAGCTTTTCCCATTCTGTTCAGCTGGTCTGATAAGTGATGCCACTAACACTACATTGCTTAAGGTAAAAACTCAGAAAATCACTATCTTGATCAGTGCTACCCTTCCTCTCACTGTGCATTTTAACTTCTTCACATCTTTCTGAAGAACACAGACTAAAGGGATTAGAATTAATTCTTAAAAGAGCAGAACATCAACTGAAGAGGAAGGGTAATTGCCAGGCATTTGAATGCTGTTTTTAATTACTAGATCCCAGCATTATGTGGGACTGTTTGTTCTACTGTAGTACAACATTGATGACTCATATTCACTTTGTTGATAATCATGACATCCAGATTGGATATATGCCCCAGTCTCAAAAAAAAAAAAAAAAAAAAAAAAAAAAACCTCTGTTTAAGTGAGATGTGTTGACACACTCCTATAATCCCAATACTCAGGAGGCCGAGGTAGGAGGATCAAGCTAGCCTGGGCTACACAGTGAGACCCTGTCTCAAAAAGAGGGAAAAAAAAAAATGCACACAAACAAAATAAATCTCAGTTTCAGTAAGAAAAACACAAAGATATGTCCTAAGTGATTGATTCCAGCTTCACTTTTAGGAGAAGATGAGTGGTTGTAAAGGTGAAACATCAGAGTTAGCAAACTACTAAATAAGTGCTGTGTAAAGGACAATTTATGAGTCAGGACCAGTGGCTCATGCCTGTGATCCTAACTACTTGGGAGGCAGAAATCCAGAGGATTGAGTTTGAGGCCAGCTTGGGCAAATAGTTGAAGAGACCCTATCTCAAAAATACCTACCATAAAAAAGGGCTAGAGGAGTGGCTCAAGTGGTAGAGTGTCTGCTTTGTAAGTATGAAGTACCTTCCAAGCAAGTACACAGGCCCTGAGTTCAAACTCCTGTACTGCCAAAAAAAAAAAAAACCAAACACAATTTATGCTTTAAAAGGCAATTCCAATGCTTCTACCATCCCTTCACACAGCAGCCAGAGTGATCCTTTGAAAGCCAATATGATTACTTCATTGATCTCAACTCTTTCATGGTATTCTATCACAACCCAATAAAATCCAAAGACCAACCATGACTTACTAAATGATACATGATCTGGCTCCTGGCCGTGTTTTCCATCATATTAGTCTAATTTTCTGTGTGCCAGCCATTCTGGCCTTCTTGCTTCTTCTCCATGCCAATCAAGTCCCTGTGTCAGGGCCACTGTACTTGTTACTCTTCTAGAACAGTATCCCTCTAGAGACCCACTTAGCTTCCTATCTCATTAAATGATTAGATTTTTGCTTGCATATCTCTTCTACTAAGAGGTCTTTCTTGTCCACCCCAAGTAAAAGAGATCCCTTTTATCACTCTTATCCCTTTATCCTGATTTATTTTCCACATTTTTTTTATTTTGTAATATGTGCATTGCTCATTGTCAATCTCCCTCACTATAATATGAGCTCTAGGAGCAAGAGAATTACTACGTTCACTACTGAATTCCGAGCACCTATTTGTTGAACAAATGAATAAGTCGATTTTCAGAATACATCAAATATTAAATGCTATTTATTTATCTATTTATTTTAGGTTTATTGGAGACAGGGTATCACTATGTAGCTCAGGCTGGCCTGGAACTCACAAATCTCCTGCCTCAGCCTTCCAAGTGCTGGTACTACAGGTATGCTCCACCATGCCAAGCATCCTTTATTTGCTGACAGACTGCATAGGAAAATATCTGGAAGTGTATATATCAAAATATTAGCAATTTAACATGGTGGGGGGTGATTTTCACATTATTTTTTACTCATGCTAGTTTTCTATTTTTTTTTCTTCGGTGGGACTGAAGTTTGAACTCCGGGCATTGCACTTGCAAAGCAGGCATTCTACCACTTGAGCAACACCTCCAGTTCATTTTGCTCTGGTTATTTTGGAGATGGGTTTTCTTGAACTCTTTGCCTGGATATCAGCCTCCCAAATAGCTAGGATTAAAGGCATGAGCTGCTGCACCTGTTTTTTATTTTATTTAAACAATAAACCTATATTACTCATATACCAAAAAACGAATAAAGGGCCACATAGGCGGAAAGTGCAAGTTAATTCTAAAACAGATTGGGCAAATTTATCAGAGACAAGACTCCTGAACAGCTGTAGCAGCATCGGGGTTAAGATAAACCATGGTTAGAATCCCCTTCCCCAACACTTCCTATAAGTGTGATGCCAAGTATAATTTCTTCATCTGTAAAATGGGGACAATAATAGTGCTTACCTCATAAAGTTGTTTAAATGTGACCATATGTGTAACCTGCTTTGTTCCATGCCTGGCATGCAATAAGTACTTGACAAATGGCAAGTATTATAATAATCACCAGTAATAATAAGAGATGTTGGGACATACCTAGCCCTCAAGATTGACATCAGAGCGGACCACCACATCCTCTCATCATTGCACCTGCATTTGGGCACGTGAAGCCCGAAGAGGGGATGGTTCTTTCCAAAGAAGGCAATTTCGACGTCCCAGAGGCATCTGGAGGAGACGTACCCTCTTCACCCCTTACGCCATTCCTTCTGGTTAATCCATGAATGGCACGGCGGGGCAGAGACTGGAGAGGCGGCCTCGGCTCGTAGTCTTCGGGCCTCAGTCTGGATTTCCTTTGCTGCAACAGGGGGGTGGGAATGGGAATGTTATCAGGAAATCACCGCACCCAGGAGGGGACCACACTGCACTGCCGCAGTAAGCCTCTGGCCAACCGGGAAAAGTGATTATTGGTTAGACTCAAGAGTCAGACAAGTTCGGCCCCATCCTCCCAGTCTTCAGGCACTGGGACCGCGACAAGCTCCCTCCCAAGGCCGCTGAAAGGGAGGCGGGGCAGAGGCGCGGCGGAAAATCGAGAGGCGGGCGGGGCCTCCAGGCTGCGACAAGGGGGGAGAAGGACGTTTACTGCGTGCGCGTGACCGCGCAGCTCGGGTGCGCGCACGCAAAACCAGGGGACGCGTACGCAGGAAGGGAGCGCACGCAAAATCCCGAACAGCGCGAGCGACTGGCGGGCCCTCATCGCAGAGGTGGGAGACGCGGTGAGGTGAGGTGCCGCACCAGTTGGGGGTGTCGAGCGCAAGCCCCTGTGGAGGGACTGAGGGTAAACCGGGTCGCGAGGTGCTGCCCGCGGATTGCAGGCTGCAGCGGCTGTGGAGCCGCAACGGGCGGCAGTAGCTGGCCTCGCTGTACTGCCAGGGAGCACGGCGCGACCCCAGCATGACCCCTGGGGCTCCGCCCCGTTTCTGGATGGCCCGCAAGTCCTTACCTCGGTGTTCTGTCCCTTCAATGGAGCGCATAATTGCACCGATTACAGTCACCGTGTGTGGTCTCCCGACCGACGTTACCCGCTGAATTTCCAAGTAGGCCTTCCAAACTAGGTGTTTTAGTTCCATTACAGAACTCAGGTTCAGACAAAATGACTTGCCCAAGATCATACAGCTATTAGGGACCTTGAACATTGGCGGCAAAACTGCAAAGCCTGCACTCCGTTCTGCTCTGCAGCACGCGGAAGCCCGTTCCACACTACCTTTCTTGCCCCCCTACTAACTACTTGAATTTAGCAGTGTGTATTTGGAGTTTGCGCCCCATCCTCTCAACGATGTTATTATTGCAATGAGATCTTTTGCAAGAAAGGAGAGAAAGAAGAGTCTGCCTGTTGCAGTATTGGGCTTTATGACAAGGAGGGTTTATCAGACTCTGCTAGCATCCTTAACTTGATAATTTGTATAACCTCTGTTGAAATGGAACTGCTGTCCACTACTTTTGCAAGTATCCTAATTTTCAGTGCTTCCTTTCCTTTGAAGAAGGTGCGTACTGCAGAAGGTTGTGAGGATTTATAAATATAATCCACATACCAACCAGGACCTGGTGTATGAAACACTTATAAATGTTGGCCGTTGTTTTATTACTGGGTGTATAATATGCCGTTGCTAAACTCATTTTTCTTCAAAGACCCACTTTTCTTGGGACTACATAGAGGGAGACTCACCCCCACCCCAAAAAGAAAAGTTTACTCACGGTGTTACGACCTGACTGTTGCATACACTTGGTGAATTATTCCCCAAGCTAAAAATATGAGCGTGAAAGAAGTACCACAAAAAAAGATAAGAGAAATGAGGGAGGAGCTGCACAGTTGAGGCACCCTGGGGATTGGGATCTCAACAGCCAGAGCTCATAGACCAGTTCTTTGACTAGTGAATGACTGAGATCCAGCTGCCTTCTGTCTTTTATATATTACTGAAGATCCAGATTTTGTAAGAAGAACTATTTGCTTTAACTTATGTGGGGACATGGGTTTAACTACTGTGATTGACAACCCCACCAATACCACATGACATATGGCAGGGTTGGTTTACCAAAGGAAAGAGGGCTAAAGAGAGAAGTGATGATAAGCAGAAAAACTCAACAGTTGTTTATTAGAAATATGTAGCTGTAGCATTTGCTGGGTATGGTGGTGCACGCCTAGCACTCAGAAGACTGAGAGAAGGTGGTCACAAGTTCAAGGCCAGCCTGAACTACATAGTGAGACCCTGTCTCAAAAAATAACAACAGCAGCAACAATAACAACCAAAAAACTTCCTAAAGAGAAAAGAAATAGGTAGCATTTATAGAGGGCCAGGCATCATGCTACATTGTATATATTTTAATAATTGTATTTTATTCTCACAACTCTGGGAGGTAGATACTATTATACCCATTTTACAGGGGAGAAATAGACACTTAGAGATAAAGTAATTTGTTCAGCATTACAAAACAAAGATATGTCAGAGCTGAATGTGTTCTTGTCCCCTTGAACGTTTTTCTAATCCCTATGCCATTTGTTTGTTCATAGTGGGTCATCAAGCTTTGATGTATGTGTTGGCCAGTTCTGAAATCTTGAAGAAGCTCTGTATTGAGGAAGATCCAAGCAATCTTTGCCAATCAGGGAATGGATCGTTTGGGTTCCTTTAGCAGTAAGTACAGTGGGAACAAATCTCAGGTGAATGTTAATAGCAAACTAAACTAGAAGTTGACCAAGGAAGTAAAATAAGCCCTTTGAAGTTAAGTAATAATGCTCTGTGTCTAAGCCTTAAGTAAGAGTGTCAAATCAAATAAAATCAATCAATACTTACTGATTATTCACTGAACGTGACGCAAGTATACTATCCTGTGTCTTAGAAGAAAATGAAGCTGAATGGGCCAGCCATAGAATGATTACCCCGTAGTTAAACTTAAAAGCAGTGCAGTTAGTTAGGAGAAATAACTTCTAATATTCTGTAACACAGAAGATAGCTGTGGCTGACAATAATCAATTGCATATTTCAAAATAGCTAGTAGAGAGGATTATTTTCTTTTCTTAGCCACATGTTTCTTTCCAATGAATTGACCATCATATTTCCAAAGTTCTGAAATGGCCATCAGACCATAAAAAGACATTTCTTTAGGCTCCTGCTTGATACCAACAGCTTCAGCAAATTGCTGGCCTTGATTCAGGGCCAAAGTAGAGAGGATTTTGAATATTCTGAAGTGATGGATATATCACTTGCTCTGATCTCATCATTACACATTGTACACATGTATTAAAATGTCCCACTGTACTCCATAAATAGAGTAAGATTTCTCTTTAGAACCAATAGCCTGTTTTAGGGACCTTGGTAGAATAAAAGAAATATTCCCCTTACCTTCCTTTTGAGTGGATGGAACTTGCATTATAAGAGTGTAACACAATACAATAACAATGCAGAAAATGATGATGTATATGTGAAGTAAATTCAAGAATCCACAACTATGAGCCAGACATCGGTGGCTCATGCATATAATCCTAGCTATTCAGCAGGCAGAGAACAGGAGGATTACAGCCTGGGCAAATAGTTCATGAGACCTATCTCAAAAAGAAACCATCACAGAAAGGAGTCTACTATTCTACATTCTACTATTTGTTCCACTATTGAGTCAGTGATACACCCCCCCCATCCTTCATTTTTTTAATAGTTGCACAGTACTTAATGTGTGAATGTACCATTAGTTTATTAAATAATGTTCTCATGCACATCCTTGGTCATATGTATCTTGTATTAGAGATACATATTTCAGTGTATATTCCTAGAAGCAAGATTGCTGGTTTAAAAGATAAAAGGATACATAGTTTTCTTTACATAATGCTAGCTCTAAAGGAGCTACACTATTTTGCATTCCCACTAGCAAATATATAATAGCCTATTTCCTCACAGCCTTGCTATGAAAGTATATTGTCAAGATTCGGAATTGTTTTTTCCAGTCTGTGTAGTAAGAAATTATATCTCAGTTCAGTTTTTGGGAGGCAGTGATAAGGTTTGAACTCAGGGCCTCATGCTTCCTAGGCAAGTGCTGTACCACTTAAGCCACTCTATCAGCCCTCTTAGTGCAGTTTTAACTTTTATATATCATGAGTAAAGCTAAGCAGTATTTCATATGTGAAGGTCATTTTTATGTCTCTCCCTTGTTTTTCCTTATTTTGCTTTTGTTTTCTGAGTCTTGAGTCTCACTATGTACCTTAAGGCTGGCCTCAAATTGGAGTTCTTCCTGCCTCAGCCTCTCTAAATGCTGGGAGTATCATTGTGTACTTCCATGTCTGACTTTTTTTTTCCCCCTTTGGTGCTAGGGTTCAAACCCAGTGCCTCATACACACTAGGCAAGTTCTTTGTATTTTAGGAATTTCAGCCCTTTTCTGTCTATGTTTGCAAACATTTTTTCAGTTTATTTTTTTAGTTTGCTGATAGTGTTTTTGCCAGAAATTGTTTTTCATTAATATAGTTAAGTTTGTTAACCTTTTATTGTCTCTGAATTTTGAATGATGGTGAAAAAGTCTTTCTCTATTTCTAGATTATAGAAAAACTTTTTTTAACTCAGGGCTTCATACTTGCATAGCAGATAATTTACCTCTTGAGCCACACCTCCAGTCTATTTTTCTTTGAGTTATTTTGAACAATTTGCCAGGACTGTCCTTAAGCTGTGCTCCTCCTTATCTCAGCCTCCCAAATAGCTAGGATTATAGGTATGAGCCACCAGTACCCAGCTTCTTACCATATTTTTAAAGCCCCTTTTACTAATTGGAAATGAAATATGTGTATCTACACACGTTTTTAGAAAATAAATATATTGCTGTACTATAATGAGAGATAAATAAAAGCTAAGTGCTTTAGAATGAAATAATACAACTTATAAAAGAAGAATTATCTATGTTTAAGACATGATTACAGCCTTGTGTGGCAGTGCATGCCTATAATCCCAGCACTTGGGAAGGCGAGACAGGAAGATGGAAAGTTCAAAAGCTAGCTTGACTACGTAGCAAGACCCTGTCTCCAAAAAAAAAAAAAAAAAGACAGGATTAAGTAGAAGACAAATTGACTTCAGTAGTCAGGCGCCTATAGCCATGCTTAGAAGTACAAATGCAGAATGTTCCAGGTGTATTGTATTAGTGACTAATGAATAGCTCAAGCCTGAGTAACTCCTGTTGAAATTCTAACAGAACAAAACACAGTATCCTTTAAAATCACGTGAAATTAATCGCCTTATTAGAAAATCCAATGTATAGTAAAACTGTAAGAAATATTTTGCTTTGGGACTGGGGGTATAGCTAAGCGTGCAGGAGGGCCTAGGTTGGAGCCCCAGCACTACCTGCCCCCCCCAAAAATCTGTAAAATATTTTGCTCTATGTAACATGTAATTAGGTTTTCTCTGTTTCTGTAATACATTTTTTTCTGTTTTTAATCTTCTCTCTGGGATACTTTTTTTGTGGTACTGAGATTTGAACTGAGAGCCTACAACTTGAGCCACTCCACCAGCCCTTTTTTGTGATTTTTTTTTCAAGATAGGTTCTTGTGAACTGTTTGCCCAGGCTGGCTTCTAGCCACAATCCTCCTGATCTCTGCCTGCTGAGTAGCTAGGATTACAGATGTGCACCACCAGTGCCTGGCTGAAATACCTCTTTGAAGGGCAGTTTTGGCTGTATGTATCAAAAATCTCAAAAGCCCTGAACTGTTCGTGTAATTATGAGGTTTTTCATCTACTTGAATGACTGGTAGGACATTTGAAAGTTGCACAAGAAACAAGTCAATTTTTTGTTGTGTAGGAATGTCTTGAGCACTGCAAGATGTCTAGGATCCTTAGTCATTGTAGCAACAAAAAACACCTCACATTTCCAAAATGTCTTTCTAGGGTGTAGCGAAGAACCATTAGGTTAAATGGCACAATGGAATATTCATCCATTAAAAAGGACAGGGAAGATCTGTGTGTACTGTCATGAAAAAGGTGACCACAATATATAGTTCAGTAGGAGAAAACCAGACTGCAAGACAAGTCTAATATTCCACTTTTGTTAAATATATAGACATGTAAATAGAAGACAGATTTTCAAGATGTTAGTAGTAAATGGTATTTTAACTTCTTTTGTCTAAAATTTTAAGAACTATAACTTGTAAAATAATTTTTTTTTTTTTTTGATGGTACTGAGGTTTGAAACTCAGGGATTCACACTTGCTAGGCAGGTACTCTACCACTTGAGCCACTCTGCCAGCCTTTTTTTGGTTGGTCATTTTTGCAGATAGGGGCTTGCAAACTACTTGCCTGTACTAGCTTCAAACTGCGATCCTCCTGATCTCTGCCTCCAGACTAGCTAGGATTACAGGCAGGAGCCTGGCAATGATTGCTTCTTGATATAAGGATTTAAAGACGCTCTGCTTTGGTCAGTGATTGATGCTTTTTTTTTTTTTTGAGAGTAAAACTTATTAAAATGACAGCCAGGTGTGGTAGTACTCCCAGCCACTCCTGGAGACTGAAGCATGATAATAGCTTGAGTCCAGGAGTTCAGTGCCATCTCCTGTCTCTTAAAAGCAAAAACAAAGCCGGGCACTGGTGGCTCACGCCTGTAATCCTAGCTATGCAGGAGGCAGAAATCAGGAGGATTGCAGTTAGAAGCCAGCCCACTCAAATAGTTGGAGAGTGGAGAGACTCTGTTTTTTCTTTTTTTTTTTCAGTATTGGGGATCAAACTCCACCAGCCCTATTTTTGTGAATGTTTTTTCAGAGTAGGGTCTTTCTATTTGCCTGGGCTGGCTTTGAACTGTGAGCTTCCTGATCTCCAGCTTGGAGAGACTCTTATCTCGAAAATACCAAACACAAAAAAGGGCTGCTGGAGTGGCTCAAGTGATAGAGCACTGCCTAGCAAGTGTGAAGCCCTGAGTTCAAACCCCAGTATGACAAAAACAAGCCAGGCAACTCTGGCTCATGCTTGTAATCCTAGCTACTTGGGAAGCTGAAATCAGGAGGACTGAGATTCAAGGCCAACCCTGGGCAAATAGTTTGTGAGGCTCCACTCCAAAATAACCAGAGCAAAATGGACTGGAGGTGTGGCTCAAGGGATAGAGTGCCTGCTTTGCAAGTGTGAAGCTCTGAATTCAAAAACCAGTCCCACCAAAACACAAAGTGAAGGAGAAGGTAATTTGATAAAATTTGGCATCTAGTTAATATAAAATAATTTGTTTTTCATGTCAAAGTTTAAAATGGGAGAAGCCAGAGGGGTTACTGTACTATATAATTAATTTGAAACTACTGCTACAAGTACATTTTTTTATTGTGTCATTTTCCTGTGTCTTCATTTAAAAACAAATGAACAATAATCACCACTTAGAGGAGAGAAAGGTGCCTCTGAGAGTGTTTTTCTTGGACGTAAGGGAGACAATGTTATTATGGAATGTGAGAAATCTTGCCCCAGACTAAACAAATTAAATTCCTCCGTCTATCTTCCAAGGCCTTTGTTCTCCTAGATTCCTGTGGTTGATCACAGAACAATTTTGCTAGGTTACCCAGACTCCAGAGAGGCAGATTTTAGGGCAACCAGAGACACACATCTGCATTTTTATGATTTTAGGGAGTTTTAATTGCTTTTGCCTTGATAGTTTGGATACATACTACTCTCATTGGAACTGGAGGAAGGTCTTCAGTGTTCTGGACTTTCCTGGGGTTAAGTCAAACTCAAACATGAAGTTTAAGTCCCAAGACATGTATTTAAAGGAGCCCCCCCACAACTTGTTACTGTAAAAAAAGTTCAAACTTATGAGAACGTTGAAAAAGCAGTATAATGATTTCTTGTGTGCCTGCTGCCATGATTCAACAGTTGTTAACATCTTGTCAGATTTGCTTTTTTAGGTGTGGTTGTATATAGACAGATATCTCATTTTCTTCCCCTGTGGCAAAATAAGTGTGGGCTTTATGAAACTTAAAATTTGTTTGTACATTTCTCTGCAGGGGCCATACCTGTCTTACTGCTGTTGGAAGTAATGGATACAGTATAGGAAGGAACAAAGCTGCCCTGAAGTAAAAAGGAGCATAATTTTTGTTTTTGATTATTTGGAAGGAGCTCATCTTGTCTCCATGTATTTTTGAACACAGTTAACTGACTTTCTTTAGTCATTTGCAGATTTTTGCCTTTTTGTACTTATGATAATCATAAGGTGTTTTAAAGTTAATTTGTTTTCTCTTTGTTCTAGATGATCCCTCTGATAAGCCACCTTGCAGAGGCTGCTCCTCCTACCTCATGGAACCTTACATTAAGTGTGCTGAATGTGGGCCACCTCCTTTTTTCCTCTGTTTGCAGGTAACTAAGAAGAGGCTTGCCTCTCCTTTCCTAGTTTTATGGACATAGTAATTCAGAGATTCCTATAGTATGCTTTGGAGGACCATACCTTATTAAATCTGTTCTTTTTAGTCAGTCTTTCCTTACACATTGTACCAGTGAAAAGTTAGAAAAAACAGCAGATGGATGTGACAGACTTGACTATTCCACAAGTCATTTCAGCCTAATGCTTAACACTTTTTCCAAGTAGATTTAAAGTATTGAAATTATAGGAATCAGAACTGGAAGATTGTTCCCTTTGATGACACTGTTTATTGTCTTGTTGAAGAGTGATCTCTGTACAGTGACAAAGGAACAAACTGTTTTGTGGGTTATAGTAGTAGAAACAACACTAACTATAAGTGTTTACTCTGTGCCAGGCAATATTTTGAGTACTTTGCATGAATTAACCTTTAAATCATCACTACAATCCCATGAAGTGAATAAATAAGTATCTCCTTTCTATAAATGGAGCCAAGCATGGTGGCACAAGCCTCTAATTGTAGCCCTTGGGAGAATGAGGTAGGAAGGTTGAGAGTTTAAGGCTAGTCTGAGTTATGTAGTGAGACTCTGTCCCCAAAATACCAAAAGCCAATAGAAAAAAGATAACTCAAAAATAGAACACCTTCAGACCATCTTCTGTCCTTTAACAAAGCATTTTTTAAAGTAACTTTTGATAACTTTTCTTTCCTTGCAGTGTTTCACTCGAGGATTTGAGTACAAGAAACATCAAAGTGATCATACTTATGAAATAATGGTAATGATGAACTTGCTGGGAATTTCCATTCATTTTTTTTAAGTATTTAAATTGAGAATTAGTTTCCTGTATCTCCAACTATGCCTTGTCTTTTTCCTTTATTTGATAATCATTACCCAGTAGGTTTTTTAGGGTATTGTATTTAAGTACAAAAACAGTTTTTTTTGTTTGTGGTACTAGAGATCAAATCCCGAGCCTTGTACCTGCTAGGCAGGCACTCTAAAAATAAGTTTTATTAACTTGGATTTTTGTTTCAAAGTTAGAACGTATTTAACTGAAGTACTGGTCAAGATATGAGGATAAGAGGTATACTGTTTATGTAGAAGTATACTCTACATAAAAATGACCTTGGGACTGAGAAGGTAGATCACTTGCTTAGCATGCATGAGGCCATGGGTTCAATCCCTAGCACCACAAAAAATTTTTTTGTCTGTCTTGAGAACATATTGCGCATATAACTTAAATCTCCTAGTTCATGGAGCAGTTTTGACATTGGCCTCTGCTAAGTTTTCCTTACAGGCAAAAATGCCAGCCAAATGGCAGTAGTATTTTCACATTGTAGATTAATCACTTGGCATTATATTAGTTTTCTGTGGTTGCTATAACAAATTGCCAAAAGTTAAGTGGTTTAAGACAACACAAATTATCTTGCAGTTTTGTAGGTCACACCATTAGGCTCACCAGTTTGCCACAAGTCCAGTAAGGCTGAAATCAAGGTGTTAGCCAGCTTGAGCTTTTATCTGGAGGCCCTGGGACAATCTATTTTTGGGCTCACTTGGTTGTTAGAATTCACTGTCTTGAGATTGTAAGATTGGAAGATTGATGTTTCCTTACTGTGATTCTTAGCATCTAGAGGCTGCTGAATTTCCTGCCTCCTGACCCCCTTTTCTACCTCCTAAGCCAGCTAGGAGTGCTTGAGGGTTGTCGATAAAATGCTGCCTTTTCTTTCCTGAACAGAATCTCTGACTCTTCTCCCACCTTCTACCTTTAAGGGCTCATGTGAGTGCATTGGGCCTACCTGGATAAACTAGGCTTATTTCCCTATTTTAAAAGTCAGCTTATTAGTAACCTTAATTCTATCTGCAAAATCTCTTCACAACAAGTACCTAGGTAGTGTTTAAATAATCAGGGGACAGGAATCTTGAGAGGAGGGGGATGTCTTTAGGATTTTACTTACTACAGAATTCACGTGTATTTACTTCAGTTTCTTAAAAATTTAGAAAGAGTGAATCAACATCTCTGAGTCTGATCATTTGTGGGGTCCTGTTAAAATGAGTTTCTGGACCTATAATGCTGAGAGATTCTAGACTATAATGAATTAATTAAAGAAAAGCCACTTATAAGATATAGGCCCTGAGTTCAAACCTCAGTACAGCAAAAAAAAAGAAAAAAAGAAAAGCCACTTAGTAAGAGTCCTTGGAAGCCAACTAGCCTTCCCCTACCTTTTTCAAAATACCTTTAGTCTCTTTTAAATAATGCATTCATTAATTATAAGACTTGGAATTAAAAAAATTCTCTTTGTTAATTTCACAATGAAGAAAGGGTTGGCAGAATGAGGTCAAAATAGCCATGGCTTTGAGTTCATTTCACCAGAGTTACCAGATGTTCAGAAAGCTGATTTATTTTTCTCAAATTCAACATGACTAGAGCCAGAATATAAATTATCTTTTTTTTTTTTTTGTGGTACTGGGGACTGAATAATCCAGGATGTCATGCATGCTACCATTGGGGTACATACCCAGTCTCCCAAATTTATTCACTTAAAATAATGAAATAATTCCTTAAGGGGTAATTTAGTACAGCTTGGGTAGGTTGATAGTTATGGTAATCCACTAGAGGAAAGCTGGCCATGAGCTTTCTTTAGCTATTCTGAGCACCATGCTCAAAACACTTACGTTTCACTCCAAGTCCACTTATGCTGATTATATCATCTTTTTCTCACTTATTCAACACCCACGCAGACACATTTCAGAGATCTGTATCTTACTTTGGGGAGCTCTGGGGGGTTACTAATACTGTCTTCCTTTTTTACTCACTCTTACCTATTCTGATGAATCCTTCCTTCTATAGGAATGATGACCAGCTTTTGGCTTTCTACACATGAAGCCACTAAAAACTTGAGTTTTTGTAAAATGAAACTTCAGATAACTTTAAATGGTTTTCAGTACTTTTATCATCTCACAGTGCTGTATTTTTGGGATTTACTCATTCTGTGGTGGGTGGTGCATTAAACAAGATTTCTGAGTTCTATAACTATTTTTATCTTGTAATCCTTAGAACCTTGAACAAGTGAATGCAGCTCTTTCTACCACACCCTTTATATGAATAACCCTTAAACTTTAGTGCATAAGAATCACCTGGGAGTGTCTTTTTTTTTTATTATTTTTTCAATTTCTTTTATTCATATGTGCATACAATGTTTGGGTCATTTCTCCCCACTTCCCCCTGGAGCTTCTTAGAAATACAGATTTGCAGGCCCTATTGTAAGGGATACTGGCTTAGTAGGACTGAGCTTGGCCTAGGAGTTGAATCATACTGATTCAACTTCAAGAAAAACTTCCTTATGCCTTTCTTTTTTTTTTTTTTCTGTAGCATAGAAAGCTTTTATTTTTTTTATCTCACAGTAAGGTTGGTAAGGGGTAAATATTAGGCTCCTCAACTAATGTGTGTGTTATTTACATATCTTTATGATACTTGTCAGATTGAGAATGATTAGATAAATATAATGCAGACATGGACTCTAATTTTTTCTTCAGTCTCAATACCTCACATGTTAGGCATATTTATAGTGTGTGCTGAGATCAAAATTGTTGCTTCTTAGTAGTATTATTTTACCAGTCACGACTTTATTTTGTCACTAACAAAAGATATAACAATTTGTAAATGTCTGTGTAATATGAAGATTTTGTAACAGTTTTTTCATTTGTTATTATAGAAAATTTTAGACCATATAGACTAGAGAGAATGGTATATAGTTATCAGTTGTTACATAGCAGCTACCCTGAGACCTTTGTGGCTAAAGCAACAATGCTTTTATTATCATTTAAGTTTTTGATGGCTTAAGAATTCAGATCAGGCACAGGGAGGGTGGTTCTCAGCTTCATATAAAGTCCTAGAGTTGTAGAAGCCCAAGAGGCTTTTTTTTTTTTTTGGCAGGGGGTGGGGGGTAGGAGGGGTTGGGTACTGGGGCCTGAACTCAGGGCTTCACACTTGCTAAGCAGGTGCTCTACAGCTTGAGCTGTGCCTCCATCCCCCAAGAAGTGCTTTTCTCATTCACATCTCTGATTCCTCATTACCTTGGCTTGAATTGCTAGGGACTAGCAAAAATCTTGAATTGCTAGGTCATAGAGTAAATGATTGTTTAATTTTTAAAGAAATGATCAAAAAGTTTTCAAAAAAATTTTTTTTTATACCTCTATCAGTATGTGAGATTTCTGATTGCTTCACATACTTACCTACCTTTAGCCTTGTCAGTCCCATTCATTTTGGCTGTTTTATTGAGTATGGCATGTATCATCATTTTTTTAAAAACTTTCTGCAGTTTGTTTTAATTGAGATACACATAAGGTCTATGCATTTCCAGTTGGCTTACGTATCTTTTGTTCTATGTGGGTTCTCTTTTTCTCTTGTTTTTAAAATTTTTTTATTGATTTGTTTTTAAATTTTTTAAAATTTTGGAATACTTTTAGATTTTATAGAGAAATTGCAAATATAATGTAGAGATGTCCTTCATCCTACTTTCTCAAATGTTAATATTTTACATTATAATATACATTTATCAAAACTGAAAAATGAATATTACTGCAAAACTAGTAGCTAAACTATAGATGTTAGATTTCTCCAGTTTCTCTAGTAATGTCCTTCTCTGTTCCAGGATCCAGTTCAGGATTGCATTTAGTCATCATGTTTCTTTAGCTTCTTCCAATATGTGATGGTTTTTCAAGTTTTTCTTGTTATTTATGACCTTGACAATTCAGAGTATTTTGCAGAAAACTCAAAATTTTGTTTTCACATGCCTGATGTTTCACCATGATTAAACTTGGGTTATGTGTATATAACAACCTCTGTGGAAGACCACAGAGGTGAAATGTTAAAAGGTAATCAGTTAGAAGACATGCATTGAGTAGAGTGTGTGGGAGGGTCACAGAGCTTCCATGTCCTCTCTGGATGCATTACCCTCCAGGAACCTCCATGTGTTCAAGATTCCAGAAGTTCCTCTCTCTCATTTCTTATAATTTATTAGATTTTGAAAAACTGGTTTTTGTCTTGGGGATTTTAGTAGTACAAACTGGATTTTGCTGATTAATGTGTTCTGTCTTCTCTGTTTCCTGTAAATTGGTAGTTATGTTCACTGGCTGCATCAGATTCGTTTTCATTATCATTATCTGCACCCATTAAACAGTGTTGCAAAATAGTGATCATTTGATTTATGAGTTAGAATAATTTTATAAAAAGAAACCTCCTCATTTTCTATGTGGTCATCTAAAATAAAGTTTGTGTTGGGAAGGCAGGATAAATGTTATTTACCTTTACTTACTAGTCTTGAAAGTCAGTTCCCTAGCATTCTGCAAATATTTAAAATATTGGATGTGTTTCAGTTCTTGGCAGTTGTAATCCTTATTGGTGCTCAAAATATTCCGATTTTGGTAAGCAGAATCTTCTGTCAATCAGCTTCTGAATCCTTTTTGACATGACCCTTACAGTCTTTGAGAGCTTCTTTGCTTTTCAGTATGACAAAATGTTCTCTTATGGTCTTGTTTGTTTCCTGACCTTGACCTGGCATCAACCTTTTTTTTTTCCTGTGGGACTTGGGTTTGAACTCAGGGGTTCACACTTACAAAGCAGGCTCTTGCAAAGCAGGGACTCTACCACTTAAGCTATATCTTCAGTCTATTTTGGTCTGGTTATTTTGGAGATGGGGTCTCGAGAACTATTTGCCTAGGCTGGCTTTGAGCCTCCTGTAACCCTACCTAGGATTACAGGCATGAGCCACCAGTACCCAGCCAGCCTTTTCTTGAAGGAATCCTGGTTCCTGTTAGTGGGAAGTAGTATTTAAAGACTGAACTGGGCATAAGAAGTGCTGCTGTTTGTCATTGTTCTAGACCTTTTCAATGAGCAGCATTAGGAAATTATTTTTCCTGATCAGCCAGGTCAGCCAGGACTATGTAGCATGTTCCAAGCCAGCATGGGTTCCATAGTGAGACCCTGACTCAAAAAAGAAAAGGAAAATCACTTGACTTGAAACACTTCTTCCTGTGTGATTTGCAAGTTTCTATGTTACATTTTGGTTTTGATTGTTATGACTTTAAAATTTAATAATTGTGTATAATATTTGTTTCAAAATAAAACAAGGACTATTGAGAGAGTGTTAGCGTCTATTCCTGTCTTCACCTAATTCTCTCCCTTGCTTCCCAATAGGTAAGCCTTTTTTTAAAAAAAAAAATGTGTTTTATTCTTGTGTTTAAATAAAACACATGCATATTGTATTTCTTTCATAGCTAAATAGGAGTACACTGTAATGTATATATCTAGTTTTGTGCTAAGTTTGAAAAAATTAATATTTCTACATAGGTTACATGGCAACTATGGGTGATAATATTTATTGAAGACCCTTATAATTAATAGTAGAAGTAGGAATGGGAGAGGTGGACAACTAATAATGTACTTTAGGGACCTTTCACAATGACAGCTGTTTAGCTATAATTCTACCATTGGGATTCCTGGGTACCATTTCTATCTCTGTTCTTAGACAAAACTTTTTTTCTCATTAGACCTCAGACTTTCCTGTTCTTGACCCCAGCTGGACTGCTCAAGAAGAAATGGCCCTTTTAGAAGCTGTGATGGATTGTGGCTTTGGAAATTGGTAAGAGCTTGGTGTTGAGAGTGGTCCTGCCCTAGTGGCCTCAAAGAAGTCATTGTTGAAGGGTGGAGGGAGGAGCCTCAGAAAGGGGAAAGCTGTGTTGCTCTCCTGTTGACCCAGGCCTGGAGACAAGTTCTGTTCCCCTCTACACATTATTTTCCAGGCCTGAAATGCCTCTCAAGAATATGGGATGCTTAGTGGTCCATGACAGAGCAGCTCTTAAAGGTCACTTTGGATATCAACACTGGGAAGGTTGGTTGTTCCTTTCTGATTAGTGGAGAAGTTTAGATTTACTAGTTATTGCTCCCTTCTGATTTCTTGGCTATAGGTTCCCTACTAATTTAAGTGAATCAGACTTGAGGTAGATGATTGTAGCCTACCTAAGATTTAAGTTTCACAGCCTTCTTAATAGCACTCTGTTTTAGCTTTCAAACTGCCTTAGTCCAAGTTGACAGAATTGAGCAACACTCATTGCTATTGCCCTAGGAGGCAATACCACTTAAAATACCACCACTTGCATTTTGGAGTACTTTCACACTGATGATTTAGTTATATAAACTAAACAGCAGAAGCATTATTAAATCTGGCTTGTTCATGAAAAATCAGAAGCTTAGGAAGTCAAAATAATTTCTCATGATCACATAGCTTATTAGTGAAGGATCCCTAACTAGATCTCTGTGTCCTGACTTGATGGTATATATAATCTTTCCTGGTATTATTAAGAGTATACTGTGCTGCTTCCCTATGTCCAGGGTCCTGAAGAAGGAGACCTGAGTTTAGTTCACATTTTGCTTACATTCATTCATTTAGCATTTATTAAGCATCATAAAATATTATGTGCTGTGGAGAAGACCAAAGAAGGTTAAAAAACTGATCATTTGTGAGAGGCTTACTAGTCATATTTGACCTAGGTTTTCTTCTTTGCTTGCCATTCTAACTCTCTAAAATAGGCAAACTTTCCTTTTCTCTTAGCAGAGACTACAAAAAAGACTTGCTAGATTGAGTATGTATGTCTGTCAGTGGTAGAATTTCTTTTTTTTTTTTTTTTTCTCAGTACTGGGAGCTGAACTCAGGGTTTCATTTTGCTACACAGATACTCTATCATTTGAGCCACACTTACCATTTGTGAGGCCCTGAGTTTGATCCTTAGCCACAAAAAAAAAAAAGACTTGCTTCTTTGAGACTGGGGTATAGCTCAGTGGTAGAGTACATATGTTGCGCCCTGGGTTTGATTCCCAGCACGCCACACACAGAGAGAAAAGCCAGTTGCTTCTATATCCACTGTGGGCAAGGCAGTAAGCTTGATGGTATAGCACTAGAACATAGAATTAAGACTTGCATCCTGCCCACGAAGTTTGTCAAGTAGTAGAGGAGCCAAAAGGTATATACAAATGATTGAAGCACACAGATCAGAGCATAGTGATGTTACAAGGACAAGTGAAGTGCTATGGAACTGAACAGAGGTCTTGATGATAAAATTTGCCTTTGTCAGTTAGGAGCTTTGTGTTCTTGAACAAGCTTATTAACTTTGGGTCTCATTTTTTTTTTCCTTCTGTGCAGTTAAGATAATAGTACACTACAAGGCTAACCTAGGATGAACTTAAACTATGTTTGAGTGTAGTTCAGTGCCTGACATATTCTAGGCGCTCTAGTGAAGAAATATTTGTTCATATGAAGTGAACAAATAAGCTATAAAACATTATGCAAAAATAAAATTAAACATTTTTGTAAATTTTGCATGTTCCAAAGTGCGTGTTCCAAAGTGACTTTTTATTTCTTAACAGCTATTCTTTCCCTGGAGCCTAACTCAAAAATTTATAGATTTTTAGTAATATTCCTTTGTTTTAGTGGGAAAGAAAGGACTTTATTTTTTTCTAGATTTTGGAATAGCAAGGTTTGGGACAACAGATTACACCGATATCAGGCTTATATTTGTTGCATTATTCTGCTGATATCTCCAAAAGTATTGGATTATTGATATTTGGATTTTACTTAAAATATGCAAAGGACAAACCATGCTTTCAGTATTAATGTACAGATGAAAGCACTTCTCCTTTCCTTCTCTTTCCCATATTTTTCTAGGCAGGATGTCGCTAATCAGATGTGCACCAAGACCAAGGAGGAGTGTGAGAAGCACTACATGAAGCATTTCATCAATAATCCTCTTTTTGCATCTACTCTGCTAAACCTGAAACAAGCAGAGGAGGCTAAAACTGCCGACTCAGCCATTCCATTTCACTGTAAGTGCCTCTATTTTTGTAAGAGTTACTTGGCCCATCCTCAGGCCCTGTTTCAGTGGCAGATAAACAGTGGTTTAATAACTTGGACAAATAAAGAACTTATGGAAGACAGGACGAGTTGGTATGGCAGCTATTGAGAGCCATGATGTGGCTAGGAGGGAATACATCCCCGGGGACAGCATTGTATCCTGGGCATCTGGGTACTTTAAGGTCCCTTGAATGTATCAGTTAACTTCTATAAGATGATGTATCAAAAAGGGAAGAACCTGTCCATGCTATTATAAATGCAAGCTTTTTGCAATCCCTTTGTCATCATAGAGTTGCTCATCAGGGTCCAGAACTTGACTTAGTTGTCCCAGTGACAAGTCCAAGGAATAGTTTATTTTTGTTCATTTGGTTGTAACAGTGCAGGCAGGTAATCTTATGTACCTGTGGGACCAATGGGTCTTTTAATAAAATATAACCAAAAAGATAATAATATTATAAATGGACATATTTCTTGAATAACTCCCAGAGCACAAGTAATGAGATAAAGTATTTTCTTTCACTGACCCTTTCCTCATACTTCCTAGAAATAGCTTTATAGCTGACTAACTCAGAAGTTGGTGATAATCTCCTATTTGGATCACATTTTGGATGTTAATGGTTGTGGGGGGTTTTTTGTTTTTTTCGGTGGGGTGAGGTTTGAACTCAAGGCTTCACACTTGCATGCAGATGCTCTACAACTTGAGTCACATCTGCCCAGGGCTGACCTTGAACCTCGATCCTCTTGGTCTCAGTCTCCCAAGTAGCTAGCACTTTTTCTCAAGTTCATTTGACTATTTGTTCCTAATAGCAACCCAGTGAAATAAACAGAACAGGTGCTTTGTTTTACACATGAGGAATCTGAGGTACAGAGATTTTAAATAATTTTTACACTGTTGTGGGAGTATTATATGTAGGAGCTGTTACTCAGTTCTAGCTACCATTTAAATCCAGTATGTTTTCACTTTTCAGTTGGAGAAGATTTGTAAATTGAGTTTGAACCTAAGGGTCAAGGGAGCTGAAGCTGACAGGATAAATACTTAGGTTCTGTAATATTAAAAGAAAGATCTTTTGGCTGGGTATGGTGGTGCAAATCTATAATCCCAGCTACTTGGGAGGCTGAGATGAGGAGGATTGTGGTTTGAGATCAGCCAGGGCAAAAAGTTAGTGAAACCTCATCTGAACAAAACAAGCAGGCTGTGCTGGTACATGACTATCATCCCAGTTATGTGGGAGGCATAGCTAGGAGGATTGTGGTCCCAGGCCAGCCCAGGCAAAAAGCAAGATCCTATCTGAAAAATAACCTAAAAGCCAAAAGGGCTGGAGGTGTGGCTCAAGTGGAAGATCCTATCTGAAAAATCCTATCTGAAAAATAAACTAAAAGCCAAAAGGGCTGGAGGTGTGGCTCAAGTGGAAGAATGTGTGCCTAGTAAGCACAAGGCCCTGAGTTCAAACTCCAGTCTGTATCACCAAAGAGAGAGAGAGAGAGAGAGAGAGAGAAAGAGAGAGAAAGGAGAAAGGGAGGGAAGGAAGGAGGGAGTGAGGTGTTTGATTTATTTCATTTTGAAACAGCAAAAGTCAGAGGATTTCCTAAGTTTTCATTTTAAAGAGATCAGTCAGAAACTAGATGTGGTAGTACATGCCTGTAATCCTACCGCTTGGGAGGCTGAGGCAGGAAGATCTTGAATTTGAGACCAGCCTGGGCTATATAGCAAGTTTGAGATATTGTCTCAAGAAACCAAAACAGGACTGGGGTTATAGCTCAGTGGTAGACTGCTTGTCTAGTATGCACAAGATCCCAGGATTGATCCCCAGCACGACAAGAAACCAAAAAAAAAAAAACAATGACTAAAATAGAAATTGGTCTATTTCCATAATACTTTATTTTGTTTTTACTTTTCCCTTAAAATTCTTCTTAATTTATTCTCTTAGACAGTTTTTCTACAAACAAAAGTATTTCAGAGTGTAAATTGAGGCTACTTTTGTGTGACTTTTCTCATGTCAATGTTTTTATTAATTAACTAAGAAAACCTCGTTAATTCTTCCAGCTACAGATGACCCTCCCCGACCTACCTTTGACTCTTTGCTTTCTCGGGACATGGCAGGATACATGCCAGCTCGAGCAGATTTCATTGAGGTAGGAAAACTTGTTTTGATGTTGATGAGGCTTCCCTTACCCCTGGGCTCCAGATCACTGAAAGGGGATTTTCAAAACATTAATTTGTAAGGCCTTTATGCAGTTAAGTTATTGCAATTAAGTTCCTTTCTTCATTTGTAAACATTTTCACTTGTGGAATAGTAGAAGTTGCTCAGACTAAGAACCTGTTCCTTCAGTTGCATCTATTCTGGCTCCCACTTCCTTTGTAGGCACAAAATTTCTGCAGTTTGTTTCCCACACGTAGGGGTTTCAAAATTGTACCGTATAAAGGCTTGGCAAACTTTTCCTGTTAAGGGCCTGATAGTAAATATTTGAAGTTTTGTAGGTCATAAAGTTTCTGCTGCAACTAAACTTGGCTGTTGTGTGCAAAAGCAGCATAGATAATATATAAACAAATGAGTGACCTATGTTCCCATAAAACTCTATGCACAAAAACTTACAGTAGGGTAGACAGTAATTTGTTGACTCCTGCACTGTATACACACGTATATAAAGAATGACAAGTGTGTGTAAAAACTGTGCATTCCTCATTCAGCCATGGAATTAAAAACCATGTGATTGCAGTCACAGGAATTTTTTGGTTTTTTTTTTTTTTTTTTTGGCAGTACTAAGGTTTGAACTCAGGGCTTCATGCTTGCTGGGCAGGCATTCTACTACTTGAGCCATTCTTTCAGCACCAGAAATCTTGATCTACCATATAATCCACATCTGCAGTGCTCTTAGAGATAACTTGAAAGTTTTAACAAACTATAATTTTGCTAGCCATACCCAGGTCAGTATTATGTTCATGTCAGGTTATACCTCATAGACACTACCCCTATGTGTTGTCCTCATTGAATAGAATATGAACAAATCTACTTACTGAACTGTATAAGTAAGGTTATTGACTTAAATAAAAGATAATGAAAGGTAAATAAATCAATGCAGATAATTTTCCTACCTATACTTGAAAACCTAATCAAAGTTAGATTTTTCTTAGGAATGAGTAGACTATTTAAAAAATTGAGAACAGATTTGGCTTCATTCCTAAAACTTATAATTATTTTAATTTTTTGTTTTCACAACTGCCTGAAAGCCTTTCAGATTTTTCCTATGATTTGCTATCACTTGTAGCAGTATCCTAGCCTTTTATCCCGTTTAGTATTTTTTAACCTATGTTGGCTTGCGTATTTTCTGTTTGTTTCTTAAGCATGGCTACTGTAAGGGCATATTCAAAGCTGATGGGCTTGGGATGGGGATTTTTTTTTTCCCTCTAATAGGAGTTTGACAATTATGCAGAATGGGACTTGAGAGACATTGATTTTGTTGAAGACGACTCAGACATTTTACATGGTAATGTTTTATTTTTATCAAGTATTTATTGAGGGCTGGGGATGTGGACTGAGTGCTAGAACTGCCTAGAAGGTGCAAGGTTCTGAGTTCAAACTCTAGTACCACCCAAAAAAAGAAAAAAAGTTTATTGAGTTCAAATATCTGATGACTCTACATTGGATGCTAGCAATATTAAGATGGACAAAACCTGTCCCTTTCCCAATAGAATTTAGAACCTTGTGGTTGGGCTAGGGATATGGTTCAGCAGTAGTGCTTGCCGAGAATGTCTGAGTCCCTGGGTTCAATCCGTACTACCAAAAAAAAGAAATCAAAATCTAATGGTTATGTTGTTGGGTTTTGACTACCATCAAATAAGATTCGTGGTGATGGTGAGAATATTGATCATATAATAGTAGTTGAGAATAACCCATCCCTTGGACTATGTGACCTTTCTTTTGACTGAGGTAAGTTTACATTGAGATAATTGGTTAAATGGGTCTCACTTGCCTTCTTAGAAGGAAGGGGAATAGTGTGGGATTTCAGTAACAACTGCTGGTACTGAATGTTTGCTATAATTTGTCACCCTAAATTTCTGATAGCAAGGGGGAAAAAAACCCAAAATTCTTCAAGGGTGGTTAGACAAAAATTGGGAATTTCTTGTCCCTTAATTTATTTTTGAGGCAGGGTCTCACTATGTAGCCTAGACTGGCCTCGAACTTGCCATCCCCCTAACTTAGCCTCTGGAGTGCTGTGATTACAAGCATGCAATACCACGCCTAGCAGAACTGTTGAATTTTAAGTTCCCTCAGTGAATGCCACAGGGTTGTTGAGAGTGGATGGTTAGTTGGTTAGGGCTGGGGTGTAGCTCAGCATTAGTCTAGTATTTATGAGGCCCTTGGTTCAATCCTTAGCACCCCCCAAAAAAAGAAATAGTGTAGATGAGTAGACTTTGAGTCCCTTTTTCCTCCTCTCTTTCCATTTTCAGTGAGTTTTATGATCTCTTTCAATCCAGAATTGAATATGGTACAATGAAGCATTTATGTTTTATTGGAATCTATATTCCTTAAACAGTATTTTCTTTATTTTTCTTAAATCTGTATCCCAGGCAGGAAAAGCAAGAAGAATACTTGTTGAGTTAACATGTTAACTGGTTCTCTGTTACTAGAAGGGGAACTTGATTGCTGATTCCTCTCTCTATAAAAGAGCTACCTGGGTGTTTGTTGACACAGACCTTGGACAAGAAAGAGTCCTTAGAAAAACTTTACCTTGAAAATTTTACACATTTTTTTGAGTGAAATTTGTCTTTGCAAAATTTCATTCCTCTTCTTTTCTCCTACACAACTTTAAGGAAAGTCAAAGTGACGCAGATTGAACTAAAAGAGGAAAGCTTGAAAGCAAATTCGAATTCACAAGATCCATTGTATTTGTTCAGTCTTCATGTCAATCTCCTTTCAACTCTAGTGACTCATGTTGTCTTTTTTCACCTCTTGTGTTGCTCCCTTTAAGGTGGCATGTAGATTCCCATTCATTATTCCTTTGTATATACACCAGCTTTCTTTAAAATGATGGTATTTACTGGCTTGCATCTTTCTTACCAAAACATTAGGCTATTATATTATATTGCAAGTAGGGAGCTTCATCATTCTTTTAGATACTGTTAAAAATTAGCAAATCAAAATCTCTAATGTTAATAAAAGATAACTGTGTAAGGGATTTACTGAATCACATCTGTAGGCACTAATTCAAGGTCTTCATTCTTTTTTTTTTCCTGTGGCACTTGGGTTTGAACCTGGGGCTTCATGCTTGAAAAGCAGGATCCATGCCTCCAGTCATTTCTGCTCTGGTTGTTTTGGAGATGGGATCTTGCAGACTATTTTCCTAGGCTGGCCTCAACTGAGATCCTCCTGGTCTCAGTCTCCCAAATAGTTAGTATTATAAGCATGAGCCACCAGACCAGCTCAAGATCTTCATTCTTAAACTCTTAACATTATTAAGAAAACTTGTATAAGCTGGGCACTGGTGGCTCACATCTGTAATCCTAGCCACTCATGAGGCAGAGATCAAGAGGATTATGGTTTGAAGCCAGCCCAGGCAAAAAGTTCATGAGATCCTATCTCAAAAAACATATCATAAAAAAGAACTGGCCAGAGTGGCTCAAGTTGTAGGCCCTGAGTTCAAACCTTAGTACCACAAAACAAAACAAACAAACCATCAAAACTTTTTGTTTTGTGTATTTAATTCTGCTCTTCATTCTTTGTAGAAGCAGGATTTGTAATTTCTTCTGATGTATTTGTGGCATTTTTGGTTCCTTCTGTAATTAAGTGGGAACAAAAGGAAAAGTCAGAAACAATTGATTAATAATTTTTACTTCAGGATAGCTTTTCAAATTTATAACATAATAGTTATCTTTGCTCTTCCTACAGTTTCTACAGTCTTGTAAATCACTAATTTTCATTTGAACTAGAACTGAAGCATCAGTTATTAGTGTTTATACACAAGTAACTTTAATACAACATAAATAATCCTTGGGCTGGAGGAGTGGCTCAACTGGTAGAGTGCCTGTCTAGCAAGTGTGAAGTTCTGAGTTCAAATCCTAGCACCAATGAATAAGTAAATTTATATAAAAATTGATTTAAAAAATACAACATAAATAATCCTTTTCCCACCCTCACTGGTCCAGTAGTTAACTGTAAGATATTTAGATGGTAGAGTGCTTACTTAGCACTGTGGTCTAGGTTTTTCATGCATAGGGCATATTAGACAAACGCTATAGCTAATAATAGCTAATATATATAGCACTTACTGTTTGCCAGCCCTTCACATAGATGAAGCCTTTTTTTGAGACAAGGTTTTGCTTTGTAACTCAGGCTAGCCTCAAATTTGCAATCCCCAGAAAAAAACCAAACAGACAAACAAACAGAAACCCCAACCTGGTCCTCAAGCATGATCTGAAAATATTTAGATGGGTACTTTTGAAGAGATATCGTTTTAAGAGGTTTGGAAATGCTTGGTGGTCAAAGGGATGCCTTGCTGGTGGTGCCACAAAGATGCTTTGTTTATGGCTCTGACCATAAACTAGCTCCTCTGACAGCATGACCCGTGTCTAAGCATGTGACCCAGAGCAGTCCCTCTCAAAAGACCCTGTGAAGGGGTCTGGAAGCCCAAGACGACTCAGGAAAGAATGAGAAGGAACTTTTAAGCACACCTGGCACACAGAGAAGGGCACAGATTTGGTGGAAATCAGGGCACTGATTGATTCAATCCTAGTTTTGCTTCTGAGTCACTGTAATCTTGGTCAAGTACTTGGAGTCTTGCTTGCTATTTCTTTGTATCCCCTACTAGTAAAAAGTAGATGACACGGATTAGTCAGTGTAAATGTCCCAGTGAATGATGGTACATAATTCAGACTGGTGTTATTACCATTCCATACATTATACTCTTAATATTTCTGATTATTAACAACATTCCTTTTATATTCCCTCACTTGTAACTACTGGAAGGAATATCTGCTGATGCCACCAAGCTCTTTCTTTGCCTCACCCAAAGATTTGCATTGATTCATGGAGTTTGTCTAATAAAATTGGCTTGCATTGTCCATTATAGAGGCCTGGGATACAATGGAGGAATAATTAATTGCATTCCAGTTATACCAGAAGGCTTTCAGAATAAGCCCAGAAAGATCACTGTGAGTGAAGCAGTATCTGAGAAAGGGAATTGGGGGAGGCAGAGAAAAGGAAGTTTGGTATTCCTAAAGAAGCCTAAGTGGCTCCTTCTTTCATTTTATTAAAATAAGAAATTACTGGTTCCCAAGAGAGAGATGGAGAAGACTTATAACTTGGAACTCTCCTTTCTCATGGTATGTTGTGAGATCTCAATGCAGATGCTTAATGTAGTTCCCTCTTTCTGACGTCTCCTAATTTAAGAGAAAGTATCTCCTGAATTTGTAAACTATTCTTTCCCTAAGTTTCTTGGGGTCCTAAAATTCTGGATGGACCATCCTTCTTGTCATGGTTGTCCAATAACTCAGCAAGGTAGAGGCATTCGGACTTCTTCCTATGTGTTGAATTAGTGTTTTCAGCATCTCTCAGGGTTGCACATTAGAACAATTTATGTTCTCTGTATTTGGAAATTTAATTTCAGCAAGGTTCCTCTGCTAAGCATGGACCTCTTTTCATTTTTCAGATTGTCTTCTTTTTTTCCTCTTTCTTTCTGTCTTTCTCTCTTTCTTCTTACTATTATCATTATTATTGGCAATATTGGGGTTTGAACTCAGGGCCTCATGCTTGCTAGGCAGATGCTCTATCACTTGAGGCATGCAACAAGCCCTTTTTTTTTTTTCTTTAATTATTTTCAGATAGGATATAGGATTATTTTCTGTTTTTTCTTTTTTTTTTGCTGCAGCCAGCCTAAACCACAATCTTCCTATTTACTCCTCCCACATAGCTGGGATGAAAGTGCACACCACCATGCCCAGCATTTTTGTGGAGATGGGGGATGGGTCTCACTAACTTTTTCCCTGGGCTGGCCTTGAACCATAATCCTCAGATCTCTACCTCCTGAGTAGCTGGTATTACAGGTGTGAGTTACCATACTAGCTTCAGATTGTGTTTCCTTAGCCCATATTCTCAGCCTTTATATCCTTCAACAGTTAGCAGATCCGTGATCAAGCTTGATCTCTGTGTGCATTCACTTGTTGGCAATGCCCTTCATATTATAGTGATCTAGCTATTTAATGTAGAGGGCATTTTAGACAAACACTATTGCCAGTAATATCCGTTAGATATATAGCACTTAACTGTTCTCCAGGTATCATTTTAAGCTCCTCACATATATGAAGTCTTTTTTTTGAGACAGGGTGTTGCTTTATAACCCAGGTGAGCCTCAAATTTGTATTCCTCCTGTCTCAGCCTCCCAAGTCCTGGGATTACAGGTATATGGCACAATATCCAACTGTGTGAAGTCCTTTAATTCTCATAAAACCTTATGAGTTGAGTGTTAACTAGTATTCCCATTTTATAGATGAGGAATTGAAGGCTAGAAAGTTCAAGTAAGTTGCCTGAAACATAGCTAGCAAGTGGCAGAGCTATCCAAGAGTCTGGATTTTTTTTTTTTTTTTGCAAAGCAGGCTTCGTACCTCCAATCCATTTATCCATTTTGCTCTGGTTATTTTGGAGATGGTGTCTTGTGAACTATTTGCCTGGGCTGGCCTCAAACTTACAGTCCTCCCAATTTGAGTCTCCCAAGTAGCTAGGATTACAGGCATAAACCAATGTTCCGTTCCCAGCAGGGCTCTTAATACTGTATAATATTCATTGTCTTTATATCTTTGAATTTTTGTTGCTGTTTCTTTTTTTTGAGGTTTCACATTTGTGATCTTTTGTAGCTTCACCACAATTCTTGAGAAATAGGAATAGGTATTTTCCCATAATATATACAGAGAAATGTCCAAAGAAGTTAAGCAATTAGCCTAAGGCTTCTTAGATGCTGCCTTTAACCATGAGGTCACTTAGTCTTCTTCCCATAGACTCTGTCATGTATATCTTGGCCAAAAGCTTGGGGTGGGGGGAAGAATGTCTTTTGAAAAACCCTGCTTCTGGGGAATACCTGAGTTACAGGTTTGTGCTTGTGTCATTGGAGTGAAAATTTTGACTGGCCTCTCTGCAGTGAAGGCCTCTGAGTTGGTTTTCTTCCCAAGCAAGCAGTAAGTGCCTTCTGTCAAGAAGACAGAAACATGTTGCCAGCTATTTTGAACAATGTTAGAAATACATTGCAGTGGGAAGACGCTGCCTCTGTCTTCTGCCCACTTCTTGAAATATTTTAAGGCCAGCAGTTTGGAAACTTATCATTTCCCAGTGTAATCACAGGGAGACTGTTCTTCCCCCAGAGCTGATATGACAGAGGCCTTCTATCAGTGGATAGGTTATAGGTGGTTTGTTTGTGTTCAATAATCTCTAGTTTGCTGGGAGCTGGTGGCTCACTCCTATATACCTAGCTACTTGAGAGACTGAGATCAGGAGGATCGCAGTTTGAGGCCAGCCCGAACAGCTAATTCTTGAGACCCCATCTCTAAAAAAACTAGAGTAAAACAGACAGGAGGTGTGGTGCAAGCAGTATAGGGCCTGCTTTGCAAGTGCTATTTGCTTGCCTGTCACTTTAAGTAGCATGTAAACTGATGATTCTTGTTCTTACACTTTCTACCTTCTCATTTCTGTTTCGCTGTGCTGTGTTCCTCCCTGGGTTATTCATGCAGTTAAGATCTTGTAATAAGTTGTGGCTATCTGACTGTACTTTTTAAAGGAAAGTAGTAATTTCAAATATAACTTTTTCTCTGGGAGAATTCCAGTTCTCCCATTTGCTATGTGTTTCTTTCCTTTGTCCTCTAGAGCCTGTTGTATAAGTTTAAAATGATCAAGAACCATTGGTAGTGTTTATTTTTAGATTTTTTTTCCTTTTTTGATAATATAGTCTTTTCACTGTTTTCTGTTTAATTAAGTCATTCCCATACAAATCTCAGGAAACAAAATGGTAAATTTAGTGTCTTGCAAAAATTACAGAAGTGTTTTATCAAAATTAGTACTGATTTTTACTGGATATTTAATTCTTTTCTATTGAATTTATCTTACTAGTTAGATAAATGAAACAAGGCATATAAAAAAAGCCTTAAACATGAGAAGTTCTCAAAGTATTTGCCTATTGTTAGTATGTTTATTTCCCTTCCTGACTTGATTAGACTTCCTAATTCTTCCTTTCTCTTAAGAGATAGTGTATCATACAACTTGTATTTGGTTATATTGCATGTCAGAGACACTTCCTCTCTTTCCTCTTCCTACCCATCTCTTCTACCACATAGGCACGCAAAGTATATCTCACCAGCATAGCTTCCTAAAGCCCACCATTCCACAGCAAATGTTTTGTAAAACAGAGGCAGCATATGGGGCATTCTCTTATAATCAGGACCTTTATATGGAACAACCCCTAAATCAAGAAAGATTTCATTTGTGAAAGTTTGCTACCTAAAAAAAACAAAGTTTGAAAACCATTGTTTTAAATCTTGGACATAACAATATTGAATTATGTTTCTTTTGGCAGTTATAAGGAAAAATGAACCAATGTTTAAATCTTTAATCCATGGTAGTTAATTTTTTTTAATACTTTGTCTTCAAAGAATATTGCATTCACTCACCTCTGCAGATTATCCAGCTAAGAATTAGGTTATTATTATTATTGTTTTCTTAATCTCAGACCCACAAGAAAATGGCCTGGATAGAGTATTCTTGGACGTCTCTCAGCAGCTGAAGTTATATTTATATATATAGCAATCCCCTCAGAGCCCAGCATGTAAGATTTTGATGTTGAACCATCTAATCTAAGAATAGCCTAAGGGCACATCAAAGCGAGATGCACAATAATGGGTCAGTATGGAGTAGCTGGAATTTATTTTTATTATCTTGCCAGAATCAACCATATTGACAGTGTTTCAGGATTACACATAGTTCAACAACTTTCGTTTGCTTTCAGTTAATAAAATAAATTGGCGATTCTTACAGTCCATTGTATTCTGTTCTGTTCTCTTAGTTGTTTGGTGCCATTTATTTTTTTTCCTACCCACAGTCTAGTTCCAACGGAAGTGTGGGTTTCAAACTGTCCGTGGAGGTACTCTTAGGGATTACTGCTGGGAAAACTAGCCTGTGGCTAGACTGGGAAGTTCAGCTAGAGCAGATCTGACTTACTGTGCCAAGTAAGATTTTGTTTTGAAAGCAGTGTTCAAAATTTACTCTCATGTTCCTATGACTCCTTGCCCCCCCTGGGTTAAACTTGAACTTAGATCTCAAGCTTTTTGGACGAGGATCAGATTGCATTTCTGTTAGTTAGCTTTCCAGAGACTCTAGGCTTAATCTCTAGACTCTGATCTGGAATGAAGTTTACTATCTTGAAAGAAGTTATTCTTGAACATAGCTAAATTCTTTGCTTCAAAGGCTGATGTATTTTTAGAAATTACATTAATTGCATTTGAATAATGTGTTTATAATTTTTGAAAAGACACCTTGTAGATTGATATGCTATGCTCTAGAGCCTCCTCTGAATATATTCAGTAATGACAGCAAATGAAAAACACCAAACTCTCAATTTACACAAAACTTAAAAAGAGACTACAAATTATTAAGATAGTTCCAGAATCTGCTGAAATCATGAAATGCTTACAGAATCCATAGATGAGATGAACGGTTTAATGTAGCATAGCGCTAAGTTATGCATAACTTATAACTTCTTTTAGAGTTGTTATAATTGGTCTTCATTACTTAGCCCTAGAGGTCTTCTAATTATAGTCTTTGGGAGGTTTTTTGCTTCTGAGATTTTTTCTTTTTTTAATATATGTTTCCTTTTCTTTTTCTTTCTTTTTTTTTGTCTTTTTCACGTTTTTACATTTCACTTTCAGTGAAGCCGGGTTTAGGATATAGACCTAACATTTTCAGAAAGTAAACTCACAGACAGTAAACATGTTGGACAGGTTCATTGTTTTTCCTACTCACAACTCTAGAACCTGACTGCCTAAGTTTAAATCCCTGCCATGTACTTAGCAGCTGTGTGATCTTGGGATAGTTGTTTTGTATGCATGGTATATAGGGCCTATGAGGGAGTAGTAAGAAGCAAGACTAGGAAGGTAGGGAGTATCAAGACAAAAAGCCTTGTATAACATGTTAAGAGTTTGAACTCCTGTAAGTGGATGGGGAATTGCTCAGGAGTTATAAGCAGGGGAATTACACCACAGATTGTGTTGTAAAATACTACTCTGGTACCATTTGGAGGTGAGTTAGAATAAGACAGGAATGGAATTAGTAAGTATAATGATGTCTCTCTTATCAGGTGACTTCAAAGTGACGAGAGAAAAGATGCCTGAGCTAAGGAGTAGAGATAAAAAGATGAATTTGAGAGACATTAAGTGTTTAGATAAGACTCACTGGCTGACCAGATATGGAGGGAGGAGGGAAGAGTCTAGTTTGGACAACTAGCTTTACAGTGATGCTGTTAACCAAGGTAAGAGTTTTAGAGGACAGGAAAAAAGTTAGAATAGAAGTTTGCTACTGAAGGCCAAGTGAGTAGAGTTTTCCAGTGGGATCTAGAACTTAAAATAGATGTCTGAGTTTGAGTTACATAGTTTGATCGTACTTGGAACCGTAGAAGTAGATGAGTTTATAGGAAAAAGGTGAGGAGTGAAAAGAGAAATGAGAACAGAAGCGTAGGAATTCTGAAGATGGAAAAACAGCGACAGGAAAAGAAAGATCCAGAACCATTGCATCGATTAAAACTTTTCCTGTCTACTGCTTCTTTTCTCCTTATTTAACATGAAACTAAAGCCAGGAAAGGTTTGGGACAGGGTTAACAAAGCTGGTCATAGCTATTATGTTGCTAGTCTACTTGATGGATCTCTTCATTACAGAATGCAAAACTCTGTACCCTAAACAGTTGCTGTTCCCCAACTGAAAATGCTACCCTGGGAAAATGTCTCTGATTGGTCTTGTCTGTTGCCTCTTGAGCTTACTCCTATGTAGTTGCATCAACATTCATTTTTGGGCTGTGGGCATAACTCAGTGGTAGAGCACTTGGGTAGCATGAATGAGGCCCTGGGTTCTATCCCCAACATTGCCCCCCCGCCAAAAAAAAACCCAATCATTTTATAACTACCTTAATAGATAAAAATTCTAGTCCATGTTTTAACAAAGTTCCAACATTTACTCTATGTAGTACATAGCAATGTCCAAAACAGGTGTTTAGTATAAAGTGGAAATAGTAATGTAGATTAATGCTATGTGATATATATATACAGAAAAAGAACTTACTGATGAGAAAAATCAGTATGCCAGGACATTTTTATGCTTCCAGTAAAAGACTAGTGAGTGTGGAATAGTTAGCAGTTTAAGGTTTGAAGTTTGAGTAAAAGATTTTTTGAATTGTCTCTACTTATATTAAATTTTATATATTTATTATTTATACATACGTATTTACCTACAGCTCTGAAGATGGCTGTCGTTGATATCTATCATTCCAGGTTAAAAGAAAGACAAAGACGAAAAAAGTAAGTACAGAAAACTATTCTTCCTTCTTTCAGTTTTAGTTTATTGATTGCATGTAGCCTGTAAGAACACTCAACTTGTAGCCCATTTTGTGACCTTGGGGAAGACATTTATCCTCCTTGAGCATCAATTTTTCCATCTGTTAAATGGGGATAATAATCCCTGTCTTATTTTTACTTCCTCTTTCTTTACTCTGTGATGATGCTATAAATAATGCATAATTTGGGTATACTGCCTTAAGCTCTTTGGAAAAAAGGAGGAGCAGGATCAATTTTGTACTGGGGTTTAAAACTCAGGGTCTCACACTTGTTAGACAGGCACTCTATCTCCTGAGTCCTGCCTGCAGTCCAGTTACACTTTTTTTTTATCCTCTTATTCTGACTGTTCACTTTTTAGATGAGATGCCTTTCATTTAAAAGGCTTTTTAAAGAAATTCTGAACAAGTTACAGGCATCCTGGTTATTCCTTTCTTTTGCAATAGAACAAAATAAACATTCAAGTGCTAGAGGTAGCTCAGTGGTAGAGTGAGATCCTGGGTTCAATCACCAGCACCAAAACAAAATAAGAAAAGAAAAAAGCATGGATGAATGGATGGATGGATACATAGATAGAAGACAGACACACACAACACACATACGTACACATTCAGACTTAGAAATTGTAGACTTCAGCCGGGTGCCAGTGGCTCATGCCTGTAATCCTAGCTACTCAGGAGGCAGAGATAAGGAGGATTGCATTTCAAAGCCAGCCCAGGCAAATAGTTCACAAGACCCTATCTCAAAAAAACCCATCCCAAAAAAGGGCTGGTGGAGTGGCTCAAGGTGTAGGCCCTAAGTTCAAACCCTAGTACTGCAAAAAAAAAAAAAAAGTTATGAACTTCAGACCCTCCCTCATTGGATTACAGAAACTTTTACAGTTCAGAGGGGGGTATGCAGAAGGTGTAAGTGTGCTGGTGTGTATATGACTGTGTATTCATGTATTTTATTTTTATGTTACTAACTATAGACACAGTGGTCAGCAGTAAAAGGTGGGGAGCGAGTTGGGAGGCACGCTTGAGGGACTGAGTTGTGATCTAAGGTAAAGCTTACTCCATGGTGGAGTCAACTTCCATGAAGTGCTGCAGAAGCTGACTCAGCTGGTCCCATGAGAAGCTTCATTGCTAGTTATGGACACGTATGCTATAAATCAAAGATTCCAGACACAACCCTGTGTGGCTTAGTTAGATTCTACTTTGTTTAAAACACATAATTAAAGCTAGACAGTATTGTAGAACTCATTTGTTGAGAGTTGCTGTTAGATCTTATGTTTTATGATGGCCTTCCATTAAACATGTACAATATATATTTATTTCAAATAGCTTCAAAGTGTGTGTGAATGCACAGTTGTAAATGTCAAAGGTGTGATCATGGTGCTCTTTTATGCTTAGCAGCTTCTCTTAAGTGGCTGTTCTCAATTATCATTTCCACAAGCTGAATAGATTAAGCTTATGATGTGGACAGATACCCTTCTGTTTCATTTTAAGTGACAGACACATGTTTTTCAGTATTTTTGAGTGGTAATTGATTTCATTCATTCTTCCAGCAAATAGTTACTGAGGGTATACTATGTCCAAGAGGGAAAACATGGGATGCTTGAGAGGCTAAAATTATGTTAGTGACTCACTAACTTACAGAAGTTTGTGGGGAGTGACTATATTATATAGGATGTCTAATAAAAGCTGCATATTGAAGACATTAAATGTGAAACTTATTCTAATACACAGATTATTATGGTTTTTCATTCTAGAATTATAAGAGATCATGGATTAATCAACCTTAAAAAGTTCCAGTGTAAGTATGAACTATTTCTTTACTTTATTTCTGTAATTTTTCTAATATTATTGAATAGGTTTAAATCATTTATGGCAGTGGTTATTAATCCACATTGCACTGTTAGCCTCACTAGGAAGAGTTTTAAAATTCTTATGCTTGGCTGGGGATGTAACTCAGTAGAGTAGAATGTGTGAGGCCTAGACTTTGATCCCTGACAAAAAAAAAAAAAAAAATCCAACCAAAGTCATCAAGGCAATTCTGATCAATAGCAGTAGTAAAAAGATATTATTGTGTACTACGTGTGCTCAGCAACACTTGTATAAAAATGTTTTAATTGAATAGTAATTACAGCATGAATATTAATAGATGATTTTCTAGCTAGTATCATGTTTTGAAACTACATATTAAATATAACTCAACCTTGATCTTCAGGTTATAAAAATATTTTTATAGAAAAATCAACAGACAGTGATACTTTCATTTTGTATAGTGGTAGACAAAAAATAGATTTAACACTGTTAGATGGTGATAATAAATATGATTTTTAAATGAGTTGTTAACTTTGACTTTAGTGATGGTGATAATAAATATGATTTTTAAATGAGTTGTTAACTTTGACTTTAGTGTTTTAAATAATGGAAATATCTAAGCTGAGCAGGAAAAGAAACCCCGTACTTTTTTGTTCTACAATGTAGAGTCTATTCAGCAAATAAGAATGATGATCTCATAATAATAATTACAATATTTACATAAAATGTTTATAATAGTTGTGACATACACTTTTTTTTGTAAATGTACTTAATGATTATTTTGAAACATATCTTAGTTGTAGAATCTTTTATGGGTTGCTCTTTAACACTCTATGGCACTAAAAGGTCCAAGTTAGCCAGTCATACATGTTAAGTGTCTTTACAACCTAAATAAATGTCTTTATAGCTCCTGTTGTACAGCACCTGTCTAGGAGGTTTGAGGCCTGGAGTTCAAATGCCAGTATTACCAAAAATAAATAAATAAAATAAAATAATGTAAATAAATTAATGTCTCTGTAGTTTTTAAAAAACAGTCATAATTATGTTACATTTTATGCCTTTTATTTTGTCACTACACATTTTTCAAGTTATGTTTTGAGGATATTACTTTTAATAGTCACATAGTATATTCTTATATATGCATACAATTACATAATTGTATATACTTAACCCCTTTTATTAAATATTTGAGTTTTTAAAAATCATATAAATAATGCTATGATGAACTTGTTTGTGAATAAAGTTTTGTCTTTATTTAGATTTTTTTTTAAAGATAGATTATTAGAAGTGGCATTAAGGGGTCAAAAAATATTATTAAAAATTCTTTTTTGAAAAAAAATTCTTTTTTGTTTCTCTGATCATTAAAAAATACTTATGCATATTGCCCGATTGCTTTTCGAAAAATGCTTATATCAATTTATATATCTTCTGGCAGTATATGAGAGTGCCTGATTAGCTCCATATTCATCAAGGCATGTGAGTTTGTAGAAACAGTTCCTGATCACATTTCCCATGCTCTTTCTATAAACAGTAATTGGCACAGTAATGGGTCCCTCAACCTGAATTCCTAGGTTTCCAGTCATACATCATCAGTTAGGTTTGACCTTTACTCAGAGTAAATATTTAAGTTTTGCATAAATTCTGTTTTTAACTGATGTACAATAAGTTTGGTTTTATTATTCCACAACTATAGTTTTTCTAAGTATAGGGTTTACGAGAAACTCTGTTGCTTTTGAGAATTTAGAAGTAGCACATGTAACGTGGTTTCAACAGGTATTCAGTTGCCATCATATTAAATGTACAAGTGATGTTAATATGGTAGGCAGGGTTTTTTTCCCCTTCAGATTTTAAATTTTTACTCCAAATTCTTCTATGTAATCCTGATTGTGAGGGTTTTCTTTTTTTTCCTGTAATACAACAGTCTGTGGCTGCTTATTAAAGCAGCTCTTGGAATTTGTAAATAAAAACATCTCCTGCAAAGGAAGCAATCCATCTGAAAATGGGACTTCATTGAAATACCTGTCATAAGTAAAAACCTGTATCTTTAGTCCAAGAGTAGACAACTAACCTGCTTATTATTGATTATCTTACTGAAATCACCAGAGAGTGGTTCAAGAGTTCTTGCCTCCTCCCCCGGCTTCCAGCCTATCAGTTATTGGTCAGTTTTACTTCCAATCTTCTTTGCAGATACCTCTTTTGTTTAGAGATTTGGTCAATAGTGATCTCCAGAGTTGCTGACCCTAGCCAAACTGCATATGTGACCTTGTCAAAATATAACTTCGTTAGTAAATTAAGTTGTCATACTTAATTTGGTGAAGTGACCCCTGTGAACAATCAAGAAATATATACCTCACCTGAGCCTGTTTGGGTAGAGAGATTTCATGCAGGACATGCAAGAGGCCACATACTTTTTCCACACTAATTGACCTCTTCTAGATGAATTCTTGTATCTGCAGTTTCCTTCTTTTCTTGTAGGAATTCTGGGTAACTGTTTCTAACAATACAGGATCTGCCTTTTTTCTCTTTTCCATTCCTGAAGCAAAGCTTGGTCCTGGTACAGATTAAAAGACAGGGAGGTGGAAGAGGTCAGTAGTGTTCAGTGGTGGAGATGATCTGTAGAGATAGAATCATCCTTGTGTGATACTTGCTGTGATGCTGTTATTATGATTAATGTTTTGCAGTGTTAGCTTTCCTGTTTGCTTCCTGTCATGGGTAAGTTAGTCATGTGAATTTGGAATAAAGTCCTTCCATTTCACTTCTTGTTAAAAAAAACTTGCAATAAACTCAGAGATTCTTAGGTAATCCATGATATGGTTGTGTTTTACTTTCTTGGTAGTAATGGAACGGCGTTATCCCAAGGAGGTCCAAGACCTTTATGAAACAATGAGAAGATTTGCAAGGATTGTGGGACCAGTGGAACATGATAAATTCATTGAAAGCCATGCATGTAGGTATTGAACCTCATTGAGCATGTGTGTGTGTGTGTGTGTATTTCTGTCTTTGTTTCCCTTTATTACCATGAGATAAATTTGGTACTGTGAAGGTAAGAGAAGAGAAATTTTAAAAAATCTAGTAACTTTGGAGGGCACCAGTGGCTCATGCCTATAATCTTTGCTATTAAGGAGGCAGGGAGCAGGAGGATTATGTTTTGAAACCAACCCCAGGCAAATAGTTTGTGAGACCTTATCTTGAAAATATCAGCACAAAAAAGGGCTGAGTGGCTCAAGTGATAGAGCGCTTGCCTCGCAAGTGTGCCCTGAGTTCAAGTCCCAGTACCACACACCCACACAAAAAGCTAGTAACTTGCTTTTTTCCCTGATAAATAGTTTAATAGATTTTTAGCAGTAATAATTTTTTACTTTCTCCTTTGTTTTTTTAGACAGGGTCTCGCTTACATGCCCCAGACTGGCCTAGAACTCCCTGTGTAGCCCAGGCTGCCTAGAACTCATGATCCTCCTATTTCAGCCTCCTGAGTGCTAAGATTACAGGCATGTGCAGTTTGCACATGCAAGTTTGGCAGCTTTTTGCTTCTTACAGAGGTTTTCAATATGTACAGAAGCAGAGGTGATGATATAATGAACCCCCATCCAGCTTTAGTAATCAACCACATTGCCAGTCAGTTTCATCTTTACCATCCACTTCCTTTCCCTCTTGCTCTCAAATTGCAGACATGTTATTTTGTCCATAAATATTTTAGTATTAACATGAGTTTTTAAAATGTAACAGTTGGCTGTCTCATGGAAATGGTACTTTTACTATTCTATTTCCTTTTTTCTGGTTTTCCTGAGAGAGCTTACTCCAGTAATAATTTGATTTTCCACTATAAAAATTGAAGTTGTTAAAGGAGCAAAGCCTAGACTTGCAGACAATCTGGACTTGGTGGCTTAATTTATACCTATTTTTTGTCAGGAAATCTGTATTTGGTTCCTCAGTTTAGTTCTAGGAAGGTTCTTTTTTTTTTTTTAATTCTTTTATTCACATGTGCATACATTGTTTGGGTCATTTCTCTCTGCTTCCCCCCTCAGTTCCAGGCAGGTCCTGTTCTGTCTCTATCACTAGTTTTGTTGAAGAAAAGAGACAAGCCTAATAAGGAAGACAAAGCATTTTTGCTAGTTGAGTTGAGGATAGCTATCCAGAAATATTCCTAGCATTGCTTTCGTGTATACGTGTTATGACCCATGTTGATTCATCTCTAACTGATCTTTACCCTGATTACTGATCCCCTTCTCATGATAACCTCTGTTGCTTTAAGGTTTCTGTATTAGCTCCTCTGGAGTGGGGACATCAAACGCTTTCATGTTTTGGGTTTTCTACCTATTTCGATATCACCCAAATGTGCTCTCCCTTGTCGTGTGATCCAAGTCTCTTTACCAAGGATGTTATCCTGTCCTAATCATGCAATTATTTCTTACAAAACTTCACTGGCATTTATCTGAGCCAGGTGGATTGTCCTCAGGAAACACCTTGTTTGGTTGGCATTCTTTGTGTGGTTTGTACTGAGTGACTGATCCTTTATTTCCTGTCCCACTTTGAGTCATCCCTGGTTTTTGTGTCACTCCAAAAAACTATACCCCATGGATTGTCCAGGCTCTTCCTTCATCATCTGTTTCAAAAGCACCCGAGTTTGAATGTTCTATCACATAATAACCCAAGCAATACAACCTGATCTATGTGTTCAGAGGCAGAAGTCTTTGGTTTATGGAAAACACAATGCTCTTTTGTTCCTATAAGAGAAAAGCTATAAAAAAATGAACTGGAGCTTGAGCAGAGCTTTTGTCCTTTCCTTGTATCAGGGCCACACCAAGTAATACCTATAGTTCATAAAACAACTTGGTTGTATAACTGGAAGTTTTTAGAACAGAATAGGTAAAACAGGAAAACTTAATTATTTAAAAATTATATTCATTTCTTTCATAGATAAGTGAGTTCAGCCAATTCACTGTAAGTTTTCTAGGAAACATTTCCAAGTACTGCATCTGGAGACAGCATCTGGAAGACAGCTAGAATAGTCTCTTTCTCAGCTTTTGGGTAAAATTTCTAATGAAATGTTACCAGTAAAAAGGACTCCCTAAACAAAATTCCATAACCTTTTTATGTAAGGCAGAATTACTAAAAATGCTCAGCAAAAGTACTCATTGAAATTATTTCATTTTTACAATTTTTCTCCTTTGTTCTCTTGGGGAAACAGTGGAATTTGAACTCCGAAGAGAAATCAAGAGGCTCCAGGAATATAGGATAGCAGGCATTACCAATTTTTGTAGTAAGTATGCTTCAGCTACATACTGTATCAGAGGGCAAGTGTCTTCCAAACACATAGGGGGAATTTCTGAGGTCTTGTGGGTTTTTTTAAAAACAAGGTTCTCCAAGGGCTAGTGGTATGGCTCAAGTGGTAGAGTGCCTGCCTCGCAAGTGTAGGGTCTTGAGTTCAAACCCTAATACAGCCAAAAAAAAAAAAAAACCAAAAATCAAGTTTTTCTTTTCTTTTTTTTTTTTTGCAGTACCAGGGTTTGAACTCAGGGCCTACACCTTGAGCCACTCCAGCAGCCCTTTTTTGGGAAGGGTTTTTTCAAACCTGGATCCTACTGATCTCTCCCTCCTGAGTTGCTAGGATTACAGGCGTGAGCCACTAGCGCCTGGTTTTCTTTTTCAGAATGAATTTTTGCAGTAAAGTTTCACTTATTTATTCCCTATAAATACCATTATTAAGATTATCTGTGGTAAACTAGAACTCATGACACATAGAAAAGAGGTGCTGCTTTAGATTTGTTGTGGCTCTTTAAAAATATTTTGTGTTCTGGGTTTTAACCTCAGCATTCTTAAGTTTAGTTATGCATGGCGTGATCATTTTTATTTACTGGGCTTTAATGGACTGTAGGTGCTTGCATGCTATTTTTTTAAGGCAGTGGTAATAATTATATTAATAGCAGCTAACATCTACCAGTTGTTTGCCATGCACCAGGCCCTATGGAAAACATTTCAGCTACATGTCATTAATATTGCATGATAGACTAGTGAGGTACTGTTACTTCTATTTAATGAAGAACCTTAATGTTTAGGTAGATTAAAAAGCTAGTTAGTAGTAGAACGAGGTCAAAAGGAGAGGCAGTGTATTACTGTACCTATGACTAGACTGCTTAAGGCTAGAGTGTAGCTCAATAGTAGAGTATTTGTCTGGTAGTGCAAGGCCCTAGGTTCTAGTCCAGCGTCACAAAAAACACAGATAGTTTAAGTTTAGATTCTGGATTCTCTGTGTACCAGCTCTGTGATTCTGTTCAAGTTGCAGTTTTCCAAGTCTCTTAGTATTAGAATGAAAGCCACTGGTATAGTATTTGGAATTTGTATAATCTTGTTAACATGGAGGAGGCACCATGCAAGTCTTCTGTTTAACAAAATACATATATAGACTCAGATACCCAATTTTGATTGGCTGATACTGGTTTCTATCCCTCTGGGAAACAGAGGAAAAGATGACTCCTTTTTTTTAGGGGGGAGTGGAGGTGGCACTGGGGTTTGAACTCAGGGCCTCATGCTTGCAAGCAGGTTCTCTTACTACTTGAGCCACTCTGCCAGTTCTGTTTTGTGTTGGGTATTTTTGAGATAGGGTCTCGAAACTGTTTGCTTGAGCTGGCTTTGAACTGTGATCCTCCTGATCTCTGACTCCTGAGTAGCTAGAATTATAGGTGTGAGCCACTAGCAACTGGCTTCTTTTTCTCTTTTTGGAGGGATAGAAATATGTTGGCTCGCCCTTCCTTCCATCCTTCCTTCCTTCCTTCCTTCCTTCCTTCCTTCTCCTTCCTCCCTTCCTCCCTTCCTTCCTCCCTCTACTCCTCCCTCCCTCCCTTCTCCCTTTGTTCCTTCCTTCTTATATATTAACTGTAGAAAAGAAATAAAAATACTGAATTGTTAAAGGAATTTTAGACTCATGGAAATCTGCTTGGCTCTTGGAAGAATAATTACAAAAGCAGTTTTGGAAAGGAAACCAAAAAAGATAAACTGCTGATCGGTTAGAATGCCCTTCACTTCTGCTTCATCATCATTATAGTCATGTGTTTTCTACACCTCCAGGTGCCAGGACGTACGATCACCTAAAGAAGACAAGAGAGGAGGAGCGCCTTAAACGCACTATGCTCTCTGAAGTTCTTCAGTATATCCAGGACAGTAGTGCATGCCAGCAGTGGCTCCGCCGACAAGCTGACATGTGCGCAGTTAGTCCAGGGTGAAGGAGTCACTCCTTCTGGGATGCACTGATTTTCACATATGTTTTGGGGCACTTCTATGGGCACTCTAGATGGTAGAGTAGCAGTAGTTGGGTAACTAGATGAATTCAGAAAGATTTTAGAAGTTCATCTCAGAAACAGTGTAGTACTGACAGTTTTACGAAACATAATTGGCCTCCTACAATCCTGCTTTCCTACTCTGATCTTATTTTAGAAAATTAGTGAATTTCCCCCTGCTCCAACTTCCCACGTATTCCTTCTCTCCCCTTCTTATCTATCAGATAAGGTGGTAGCTCTAGTAGCTGACACCTCTAATCCTGGCTATTGGAGGAGGCTGACATCAGGAGGCTTGTTCGAGGCCAGTCTATATCATTGCATCTCTTCCTGAATGACCCTCCTGATAAATCGTTCTCAGTCACACAGAGGCTACTGGAAATTGCCTCCTTTGATATGACCTAAGTTTAAATTCCTTTTTGTTTTAGTGATTCTGGGCTGAGTCCTTCCATTCCAGTGGCTTCAAATTCAGGTAATTATTTCTCAGGTTAAAGCAAGTTTGATGGGATTTTGTTGTTGTTGTTGTTTTCATTATTTATTTATTTATTTATTTGGCAGCACTGGGTATTGAACCCAGGGCCTTTCATGTATGCTAGTATGCTAGGCAAGTAAGTGTTCTACCACTGAGCTACATCCCCAGAACAAGTATTGATAGTGAATTTGACATTCGAGGGGTGTGGTGATCCAGCAATCTTTCCGCCTCTGTGGGAGCAGAGTGCTTCAGCAGGGTAATGGTAATCAAGTGTTAGCTTGTAAGCATTAGCATGTTTTCAGAATCTTCATAGCTCCACAGGGACAGTCCTGTGTCCCTAAGTTCAGAGATAGGAAGAGAAGATTCCAGAAAGGTATTTTCTTTATTTTATCAGTGTTCAGTTTTTTTGGAGTTGTATTCACCACAGATTTTGAGATGTGTATTATGGGACATAAATTAAGATCTTTGTATCTGCTGTGAATAAACAAACAAGTTACTTGCCAAAAATTCAAGGATTTCCTATAAGTTGAAGGCTTAAGGTATTTCTGTTTCTAAGCTTTACCTCCTATTTTGAGATTAGTTACAGAGCAAGATGAAGCCGTATTCTATCTGATGCTTCTTGGTGATTGTTAATCAGTGACCAGGAATTTGGGGAGGTATTAGTTATAAAGCTCTGAACCAAGGTTGTGGTATTCTTTTCCTATTCTCTTGTTTATCATTCACCCCTGCTCCACTTCTAAGCAGAACATACCTACTGCATTGATTAGAAGCAGAGTAGTCTAATTGTGATCCGTTTTACCATTCTTTAGAGGCTTGAAACAACAGAACTTGCAAAATATCTCAGTACCACCAGCAGGGGTGGTGTAACTGTGCTCCCAGCACTCAAGAGACTGAAGCAGAAGAATCTAGAGATCAGGACTAGCCTGGGTTATGTAGTGAGACCCTGACTCAAAAAGCAAAACAATAAGCAGGGCTCCACTTGTAATCCTAGCTACTTGGGGAAATTGAGGTTGGGAGGATTGTGGTTGGAGACCAGCCCAGGCAAATAGTTCGTGAGACCCCTTCTCTAAAATAACCAGAGCAAAATGGACTGGAGGTGTTGCTCAAGTGGTAGAGCACTTGCTTTACAAGTGTGAAGCCCTGAATTCAAACCTATCCCACCAAAAAAACAACTACAAAAAAAACCTCTCAGTATATTGAAGATCTATACAGGGCTCAAATAGTTTCATTTGTGATGATTTTCTTCTCTTTGTTTCAAGTAATTATTTCTTAATTAATAGCAAAGGGAGAAAAGAAAGCCATTTAGGGAGTCTCCAAAGACAGTGCAATCCAGGCTTTATTTTGTAAGTTTTTACTTCTAACCATGTCCCTCCCACCCTGCTAAATATAGCAATACAAATAGTTTAATGCTGGCTAATTGAAATGAATAAATTTGCTAATATGATTGTGCAGCTTTGGTTTCTGTGGCTTTTTTTTTTTTTTAAACCATCTGTGCTCACTTATTCACTGTTTCTTCCTCATCTGGTGTTAGCCTTCTTTACCCCTTTTGCTTTTATTGAAGAGACCTCTTGCTCTCCTTCATACTTGGAATTGCTCATAAGGCAGTGAAAAATTGGAAGCCTGGCATCACTGACTGTAGCCTAACCTTTGGTGACTTGTGAAATTGCACATGGTTTTATTTCCCTTTGAACATCTAGGATAAGCCCTTGTCCCCATTAGAGAAGCCTGTTTTCCAACAGAGCAGCTTAGTCCCTTCCCTTTTTCTACCCCACCTAAAAGGCAGTCCCCATAAAACGTGTGTTTGGGAGGGTTGATTTTGGTTTTTGTGCTGAAGGGGTCCAACTCAGGGCCTCACACATGCTAGGCAAGCCCTGTCACTGAGCCACACCCCCAGCCCAGCCTTTGTTTTCTGAGATAAAGTATTGCTACATACCCCAGGCTGGCCTACAACTAGAGATCTTCCTGCCTCAGTCTCCTGAGTGCTGGATTATAGGTGTGGGCCACTTTTTTTTTTTTTCATTGTTGAGGATCCAACCTGGGGCCTTTCCTATACTAGGCAAGCACTGTACCACTGAGCTATACTACTACCCCAAAATTTATTAATATAGTATTCTGCATTTTCTTTTCCTTAACTTACTCCATCCATCTCCAACTGAGCACTAATCCCAAATATACATTCAAAATAAAACCAAAATAATTTTGTGCATCAAACTTCCCATCCTGGCCTGGCCATTTACCCATTCAGGTTTCTTTCTTGGGTATTGAGTTGACCTTATTAGTCCCTGCTTTGACATACAAAGGCATATTGTTCCTATGTGTGGATCTCTCAGGTAAACAGGGCTACTTTGAAAGGAACAGGTATTCTCTCAGACAATAAATAAGAAGGGCCTTTTGCTGGCCTAATAGTCTGCCTTTGATCTGAAAACACATGGTGCTTGGTTAATTACCATGTTTATCTTACCTACTGGAAGAGTGATGAATGTTGCAGAATATCTCTTCTACAGAGTTGTTATTTCCATTCACAGCTATGCAGGCAGGCAGTGTGTGACCTTTCTTAACTGGATGACATCTGGGCTTTAAATTTTAAGAGTCTCCTATGTGATAGGAAGAATAGTGAGTAGTCATATTTATGCTAAGAGAGGTATTATTGTGTATGTATTTTTGAGAAGAGCAAAGGATACTTGAATTATCATTTATAATTTAAAGTGAATTTTGGGTGTCCATCTTGCTAGCTAAACAGGTTTGAGGGGATAGGTTGAGCTTTCTTCACTGCTGGATATAGTGACTTTATACCTGGCTAATCTGGCTGTCCTGGACTTAGTTATACTTTACACTTGAGCAATTGTCCCTCTTATGAAATATATGTTCTTTTCTGTCTGGGTCTGTAGGTAGACGGAGTGCGCCACCTTTGAACCTCACTGGCCTCCCTGGCACCGAGAAGCTAAATGAAAAAGAAAAAGAGGTAACAAATAGGTGGGAAACTAGAGGAAGAATAGGGACTTATTAGTCATTGAGTTATCATTAAAAACTTAGTACAGCATCAAAGCTATTTTACTCCACTCATCTAGTCTATCCTACAAGTCCAGGAGCTAAAGAGCTAAGTTCTGCAGCCAGATGCCAGTGGCTTACACCTGTAATTCCAGCTACGTGGGAGGCTGAAATCAGGATGATCAAGGTTCAAGGATAGCCTGGGCAAACAGTTTTCCAGACCCCCATTTCCACCAATAAACTGGGCATGGTGGCTTGCACCTGTAATCCCAACTACAAGGGAGGCACCAGGTAGGAGGACTATGGTCCAAGGCTGGCCTGGACAAAAAAACAAGATCTGCTGGCAGAGTGGCTGAAGTGGTAGAGCACCTGCGTAACAAGCATGTGCTTGTTCAAACTCCCATATTATCAATAAAACTGCTCGCAAACCCCAGTACTGCCAAAAACAAACAAAAAAACAATACCCTATCTGAAATAACTTAAAAGCAAAAAGGGCTGGAGATTTGGTCAAGTAGTAGACAGTACCTGCCTAGAAAGCATGAGGCCCCTAATTCATATGCCAGTACCACACATACTAAAAAAAACCTCCAAACCGTTGCTAGCCATCTCATCCAGTCTTACATTTGGATTTTGAGATAGGACCTAACTTTATCCAAGCTGGCCATGAACTTGAGATCCTCTTCCCTTTACCCCCAGGTAGATGGGATTACAGGTGTCCACCACTACACCTGTTTTTTGTTTTTGTTTTTTTTTTTTGAAACAGTGTTCTACTACATAGCCCAGGCTTCAGCTGCTGATTTTTTTTTAAACATCATGACTTGCTTTTTATTCCCACTGTAATCATCAGTCTTCATATTGAGATCTGTAAAACTAGTAAGAGTCATGAAGAATTTTCAGTAGGATATGTCCTAGCTCTAAAATCCATTTCAAAAGAAGAATTTCTTTTTTGCTCCTCATATGCTCCTTTTATAGTTCCCAGGGACAGTCTTCCCATTTGATACTCCATGAAAGAGTCATGGTGTAAAGTCTAGTATTAATCTTATTTTACCCATCAGGAACAGTAAAAACTAATTTGGTAATAGAAGGAAGTATATGTTGAAGAAAGTCACAGACTAGTCTGATTCAAATATTGAATGACCTGAAATTTCAAGCATTTTTTACCCACATAATGGTGATCTCAGACTACTCATGGCTGGATATGACTGGTGAACTAGAATTGAGCCAGATTTCTAGAGTCTTATCAGTCTAGGTGGTCTGTTCTCCACAGTAGGAAATGTAATCACAAAAGCAGGGAATACTTTATGCCAGTACTAACAACACTGAGATTTACCCCTGTGCATCTGAGTACCTGTACCCCTCCTTTCATTGTGCCCTGTGACTCTTCCCTGACCAAGTGTTGGAGTGGTGTTGAGCCTCTACCCAGGCATTTAGTGCTTGACTCCTGAGTGAGCCAGGCTGTTCCTGGCATTTCATAACAATACCAGGTCCTTGAGCCATCCTTCACTTGCTAAAGGCTCTTGTAGCCTCACACCCCTTTCTTCCTGGGCGTCTATCCTTAGAGAGTGTTCTCTCCAGAGAAGAGATAAGTGGAATGTGGTCCAGCCACTCAGTAGTTCCTGTAAATAGTTGGAGGTTGATGTCACTTTTTGTTGTTTTTGCTATACCTGTTGGAATAAATTTTGGGAATGCCAGATGTTAATGAATGTTTATTAAGTTTGCCATGTCTTGCAGCTCTGTCAGATGGTGAGGTTGGTCCCCGGAGCCTATTTAGAATACAAGTCTGCTCTGTTGAATGAGTGTAACAAGCAAGGAGGCTTGAGACTGGCACAGGCAAGAGCACTCATCAAGATAGACGTGAACAAGACTCGAAAAATCTATGATTTCCTCATCCGAGAAGGATACATCACTAAAGCCTGAGTCTCTGTGGGCTTGGGAATGCAAGTCAAAAGTTTGGAATGTGATGAATTAAAGGACAATATAAGCATTCCAGAGAACTGTTTTTGAGCTGAATTCCTATAGTAAAAAGAGAGGACAAAGGAAACCTTAAGTTGTGTTAATGTCTACTTTCTTTTCTGCCCTGCTTTAAAGCACTCCGTTGTTGGTATTGTGCTGCAGAATTGTGTGCTATATGAGCTATTATTAAATGCGAGTGGGCATTCATTCCTAACACCTCTTGTAACTAAAATAAGAACCATAGTACCTTATATCACAGTGTTGGTAGAAATAGAACTGAACCAAACCAAACCAAACCAGTGTTTAGTACCAGAAATTCAGCTCAGACCCTTGTACTTGTGAGCTAAGATTGCTGATTATCTGTTTTGCCATCAGACATTGCAGACACATTAAAATGAAATTTTTTAGAACATGAGAAATCTTTTTCTTCTAAGGATTTTTTAAGCTGATAACTTATATATGAACAAATAAGAGGAAAACCTCCCCATGGTGGTCTTGTCCCAAACTGCCTTTTTAACTTTAATGTCTGGCTTTGTGTTTTACAGTCTGGCTGTCTGTAGTAGACTTTTGAGGAGGTGGTACCAGATATAAAATGTCTCTGTTATTTTTAGAGTTAATGGATTAAAATGTTTTGCCATTTAATTTATGGGTATGTCAAATATTCTGGTAACTCAGGCACACTTAGAGTGTTGGCTGCTCGTCCCTTCACATTGCACTGTCTCTGCTAACATGTGTCCGTGTCCTGACTCACCCTGTTCTTACACAGAGTTCTCAGGCCCCCGAGGATAGACATGATGCAGCTGACCTCAGCTTTGCTTGGGTTGAGACCTGAACCCTCATTTCTCAATGGTGAAAGATTAGCCTGCAAAAAAAGCTGCTTTTGAAACAGAAATAAAGCAGCTTCATTATGATACTCACTATATGTGAGGGTGAGAAGCCCCACCACATCTAAAACTTGGTCCTCAAACCTTTCTGCAAAATAAGAAGCCAAACTCAGAGTCATGGTTATCTCATTTTTGTTAGAAGCAAAATTGTCGTACATAGAAATAACTTCTTTAGAATCTGCACAAATCACCTCCAATAGCTGATTGTTTATTTCTTTTAACATTCAAACATCTAATTAGTATGTGCTTTCTTGGAAGTATCTGCTCAAACTTTTAACTGATGTAATTATGCAAGCAGTTTGCTAATAGATATCTAGGGAACAAGAAATGAAAAGGGTACGCTTAGGATCTGAGGGAATACAAATAGAGGATGTCATTTCTTTAAAAAAGATGGCTTGTGGGAATGTTCTCCTTTTTTTGCATAGCCATCTCCATATCTCTCAGAAAATGTATTCTCCCACCACCATCAGCCCTAGATGGTTATGAAGAGATTGCCTCTTGTTCATAAATAGTAATTCCTGTTTTGAAAATCTGGAATGTAGCAGACATCATTGTCAGGTGACTATTGTTGTCTTTGAAGAATCTTTAATCTTGGTTAAGGAAGGCTTCTTGGGAGAGGTGGACTTTTGAGGCAATGAAGAGATTGAGAGTCAAGTGAAAAATGGCAGATGGAAGTGGGAGACTGTTCCAGACATAGGTGGTGGAGGATGATATGGAGGCAGCAGTGGGAGTAAGGAAAATGGTGCCAAGAGTCGTATTTGGCTAGAATACAAGGGGCAGCTGTGGTAGTTAGGAGTGGGAGGATGGTAGGACAGACAATAGAAACCTCTGAACCAATGGAACACTGAATTAGCATGTGAGGATCAGTAGATTTGGTGAGGAAAATGGCATGGTTGAAAATAATAGAAAAATAAAGCTGTAGTTACAAATAACTAGATTTTAGAAAGTAGGGTTACTTTTGCTTCAGTAAACCCAACTTTGTAAAATTTTAAGACCTAATATCCTTAGTGGGTTTCTGAAAAGTCTAGTTTTCTTTTCGGTGAGTAGTATTCTTAAAAGGGGTCACTGTCTTTTTTGCATTTGCAGCAGAAAAGTACTTACTGGTATTGATGTGACTGTCATTTCCTTCCATGTTCTTATCACTTAGAGAAGGCCTGTTTATTTGTTTGCTTTGTTAATAGTGGGTTTTGAACTCAGTGCCTTACACTTGCTAGGCAGGTGCTGTATCACTTGAGCCACACCCCCAAGCCCTTTTTGATTTTGTTATTTTTGGATAGGGTCTCTGTTTATGCCCAGGCTGTCCTGCCTCATGATCCTCCTATTTATGCTTCCTACATAGCTGGGATGGCAGGCATGTGTTACCATGTTCAGGTTTTATTGGTTGGGATGGGGGTCTCAAGAACTTTTTGCCTGGGCTGGCCTCAAACCACCTTTCTCCCAATCTCTACCTTCCAAGAAGCTAGGATTACAGATATGAGCCACCATCTGGTGAAGGATACTTCTTAGTGTTAAAAAACTAGAGTTAGCAAGGGTCTTTCCAAAAACTGCATTCTTCTCCTTTGTTTCCAGATGTGGTGGGCCATAAACCAGCTACACTGAAAGATGTCTCTCCTAGTCCACATCAGGCCTTTACTGTTAGGGAGTTCTTACTGCAGTTTAACATTAAAGGTTTCTGGTGGAATTTTATGCATAATCTTCTCTTCTTGTGGTGGGAAATGGAAAATAAATTCCATGTAATGACTGTTTCCTGTAATAAAAGACCAAAACTGTCTTCCCTCCCCCTCTTTTTTTCTTTCTTTCTTTTTTTTTTTTTTTTTGGAGACAGGGTCTCACTCTGTAGCCCAGGCTGGTCTTGAACCTCAATACTCCAGTTTCAGCCTCCCAAGTGTTGGGATTATAGAGGTGTGCCATGAATCATGCACAACAAAACTGTCTCTCTTAGGATACTCATCCATTTTAAGAATGCCTTTGCGGTTACCTTTAAGATACACTATGTTATTGTTCACAACACACACACTTCTACAGTTTGTAGGGGAACCCAGCTTTTTATTTGGAAGCTTTCCTTTCTAATGTGCTTAGCCAGATGCAGTTAGCCTCTCCCAGATCTGCCAAAAAGGACCATCCCTGGTATAATGGAACACTGCCATGTTTGTAGCCTTCTGCAGAAGATGTGGCCCAGTGAAGATAAAAGATTTCTCCCAGTCCTTTTGAGTGAAACTGGACAGGATCTCAGCTGAACTAGGGTCAGAGCAGCCTTAATAGTCATAGTCATGCTGACATAGGACTTAAATTGGGAGTGAGAACATCAGTGATCTTCAGCTAAGGAATTTTGGACCCTAAGTAAGTAGCCTGACCTGGAAATAGCTATCAGAACTGAATAGCTGACACCCGGGCAGTTTCTAAGAAGCTGGGAAGCCAGTTTTCCATATTTAGTGACAGGGAATCCTCTGTGTTCATTGTCCTGGCCTCCAGCAGTTGAGGGTATCAACTACTGTTGATTTCATTAACCAGTCTTACAAATCAGAGACAGGTATTTGTGGGAAGGATGAATGCCTTAAAATTCCTTTGTCACGATGAGTTACTTGTTCCATCTTGAATGTAGGCTCTGTTGAGAGCATGAAGAAAGTGGAGATGAGACAATAGATAGTGGCCGCAAAAATCTTTAAAATCCCAAACTGATTGTTAACAAATGTGGCCCTGGAGGTCACCGTACTTGCCTTGTTTTTGCAAATCCTGTAGTTATAAATTTTGCCAGCCCAGACTTGTCTTGCATCCTTTAGAGCTGGATAATTGAGTCTGATGCACTTATTTTCTACTTTGGAGTACAGGGGATAGATTTCTATGCCACCAGACTAATCTTTGGGTATAATTAATCTTGCATTCTTAACAAAGCAACACTTTTTTTTAAATCTTGCACTGATTAAAGTTCTTAAGTAGCAAAAACCTTCCAGATGGCTTACCAATAATCCTTCTTTGGTTCAGTTTTGTTGAATAGAATCAGCATCTTAGAAAGCTTGGAAAGAAGACCTCGTAGTGGTTTTAAGAAACCAACACTTTCTTAAAGCAAAAATGTTGAAATGCTGTCATCTTATTTAGTAAACTAACCTAAATTCCAACTCATGACACTTCTGTTGCATCTCTCTTCTCTTAGGAGAGCTGTATGCTGATCATCTTCCCATCAATAGAAAACTTGATTTGGGTGGAGCCTCCTTTCCACATCACCCTTTATTTAGGAAATTTCTTTAAAACAAAAACATATTTGAGCCTGGTGCCAGTGGCTCACACATGTAATCCTAGCCACTCAGGAGGCAGAGATCAGGAGGATCGAGGTTTGAAGCCAGCCAGGGCAAATAGTTTGTGACATCCAATCTCCAAAAAAAAAAAAAAAAAGACCCTTGACACACAAAAAAAGGGCTGGTGGAGTGGCTCAAGAGATAGACCCTGAGTTCAAGCCTCAGTACCACACACACAAAAACAAACTAACAAACATATTTGAACCAGGCCCCAGTGGCTCAAACCTATAATCCTACCTACTTGGGAGATTTAGCTCAAGGCCAGCCCAGGCAAATAGATTGAGAGACTCCCTTCTTCAAAATAACCAGAGTAAAATGAACTGGAGGTACGGCTCACGCAGTAGAGAGCTGCTTTGTCAGCGTAAAACTCTGCGTTCAAAACCCAGTTCCACCAAAAAAAATTTTTTTAAAGAAATGAAAAATTGTGAGGTGCTGGTGGCTCATGCCTGTAATCCTAGCTACTGAGGAGGCAGAGATCTGGAGGTTTGTGGTTCAAAGCCAGCCCAGGCAAATAGCTTGTAAGATCCTATCTCAAAAATATGCAACACAAAAAGGGCTGGTGGAGTGGCTCAAGTGGTAGAGTGCCTGCCTAGCAAGCCCTGAGTTCAAATTCCAGTATATCAAAAAAGAAAAGAAAAAGTAATGGACTATCCCTATATGAAAACTGATTTTGAATTTGAGCTAAGTAGTCTGATTTTTTTCTTCCCAGTTTCTGATATTAGGGAGTTGTCAAAGAAGAAATGGACAATTTTCAGATAAGTTTCATAGTTTCTTTCCCCAAAAAAATATTTAAAAGGATTTGAAGGCACTGTCCCCAAGTACCAAGGACATTGGAGATGGGTGAGCCGATTTAAAGCTGAGCAACAGAGCAGGATGGGCAGCAGTATTTAAGCCTTGATATCCTGGGAATTTGCTACTGTTTGGCAAAACAAAGAGATGAGTTTTTGGAGAGGTGGAACCACAGCCTTTCCACCTGTTTCCAGCTCTGGCCTGTGAGGATCTTTTTTTTTAACCAGAGGCAAACTGCAGCAACAAAGCCACAGGGACAGTAGGCAGTGCCCTCATGTATACAAGATCTAGCCAGAAACAGTTAGTTGATAGCCATGTCAATCTTACTTGGCTTCTCACCCCCACCAGAAAATCTTTGCCTTATTCTGAGTGTGCCTAGCTTTAGATTCAGGACACTTGTCAGCTCTAAGTCAGGACATGGGCTTTAACTTCACCATGCAAAGCAAATACCAACTTTTGAGAGCATAGTCTCCCAGGAGTTGCCTCCGCCCCCAGCAACTGCAGAAAAGAAGGTGTTGTGGGAAGGAAGGGTAGCTATAGACGTCATTGCATCATCCAGATCCCAGCTGTGACCTGGCTCAGAGTTTTCCCAGTTAAAAATAACCATCTTAGACTTGGGGGGACAAAAGTAAACTGTTGCGTCTCCATGGAAACTAAGAGGGGCAAGGAAGCAAGCTTCAGATTTCCAGGGCATGAGGCAAGACAGGGTAGTGTGGATGTAGGGACCGGAAGCTTAGGGGCCCTCTGATGAAAGGTGATATCTTTAATTAGCATTCAGATGTAGCCACAGGGCTCTGGAGATACTTTGCTTGGGAACTATGTTTACAAGGTAATGCATCTTGGGTCTGGTGAAGAATTAGTGGAGGCTTCTGACTTTCTGTAACAGATTTGCTATTATTTGGCAAAGCAAAGAGCAGATAAGCAACACAGGTTAGATGTTGCCTTTTTTTTTTTTTTTTTGGTAGGACTGGGGTTTGAACTCAGAGCCTCATGCTTGCAAAGCCAGTGCTCTATTGCTTGAGGCATGCCTCCAGTCCAAGATGTTGCCCTTTGATATTTGGGAACCTCTGCTAACCTTCCATTTGCATTCCACTCCCTCATTTGCATATTCAGCGGCTAGAGATGGTATAGGCAGCATTTCATAACCGAGGGGAAGTGTCCAGGCTGTTGGACTGACGGGTACATTTACTTCTCTTTAGTAGGACCAGGTTTTTCATCTTTGGGGTTGTAGACATTATGCAAAGCAGCATTAATTACCTTGATTTTCTTTAAAAGTATGTCTCACCATTTCTGGTATTATTACTACAGTAGGCAACTGATCTCAGCCTCCCAAATAGCTAGGGTATTTTCGAGATAGGGTCTTAAGAACTATTTGCCTGAGTTGGCTTCTAGCTGCAATCCTGATCTCTGCCTCCTAAGTAGCTAGGATTATAGGTGTGAGCCACCAGTGCCTGGCTCATTCCTCTTTTAAAAAATAATTTTCCCTTCAAAAAATACATGAAGCCAATGGGTGCCAATGGCTCACCCACTTATAATCCTAGCTACTCAAGAGGCAGAGATCAAGAGGATTGTGGTTCAAGGCCAGCCCAGGCAAAAAAGTGAAACCCTATCTCAAAAATACCCAACATAGGTCTGGCAAAATGGCTCAAGTGGTAGAGCACCTGCCTAGCAAGTATAAGGCCCTGAGTTCAACACATAGTACCAACAACAACAAAGAAGACACACAAATACATTCTAGCTATAACCATTTTTTACACCTTCATTTTTAAATGAGTTTCTAGAGCAAAGAGCTGAGGAAATAGCAGAGATGTTTTACAGTACCTGCTTCTACAGATAGGTGCTTTGCCAGCCAGGAAAAGATCCGAGCACTAGTCCTTCTTAAGTATTTACTAGTAGTGCAACCTTAGGCAAGCTTTTTAACCCTTATGAAAAGCTTGGTTGGTAATACCTACCTGATTAAGTTTGGTGAAGAGTGGGTGGGCTAAAGCACATAACACCGTGTCTGTCTTTTCCTTTCCCATTGAGCCTTTGATTGTTTAACTCCAGTCAGGCATGGACAAGTGCATGATTTGCTTGTACCACACAACTTATGTCATGTTAGTCACACAGAAGGGCACTAGGATCTGAAAGGCACAGAAAAATGTTCAGACAATCAGATGTGCACCTTATGTGGATATTGTTTGCCTTGGAGTTCTCATCACTGCAGTCTCATCACAGTTCTAGCATTGAATTAAGGACAAAAAATTTCAGAGACAGATTTTACTTATTTATCCTAGACATATAATGTTCTCGTACACAGTATTAGCTCAAATACTATACGTATAATATAACAGTAATTGTATAAATAGAACAAAAAATCTTGCATAGAAAAGCAAAGAAATCCAGATACTAATCATTGTTTTGTTAAGTAATAAAATGATGGTGGGTGGTACTTTTTCTCTTCAGTTTTCTTTTATAATGTGACATTTCTTTACTACTAGAAAAATTAGTTTTATGAGAACTATAAACACTCTGGTGGCTGAGGAGAGGGACTGGGTGAGGGGTGGTGGGAGGCAGGGAACGGGGAAAAATTTAAAAGAAAAAACCAAAACTAAGTCATTTACGTGTAATAAAACCTAGCAAATCTATATGATAGACTTGGGTAGTTGCTATCTTAATCTTCTGGAACAACACAAGCCTTAGGCAAACTTCTATAGTATAGCTATCTTTATCTCAAACCAGCAAAAACATTGTTGTTCTTATTATCTCTTATGTTTTCTCTTTAACAAAATTGGAGAGGGCGGTGGGGGTGGAGGGGAGGTGGCCCAAACAATATATACACATGTGAGTAAATGTCAAAATGATAAAATAAAAAAAAAGAAATGATAAAATTAAAAAAAGTCTTGAGACTTCTGTCCTAATTGTTTTGTCCTTTTTACATTCTTAGAGTTTTCTCCCACATACCTGCTGACCACTGTCCCTCTCAAATCTGCCAAAAGACAGTAACTTAATTTTTTTTTTACTTTTTTAGTAATCAGTGGCATACAACGTATAGATTATAAGAATTTAGATTATAGAATATATGTTATCTATAATCACAGACACTGACAAGCAGACTTGGAGACATCTATGGGGCACAAGACTAAATGGCACCCTGAAATCATACTTCTGTACACTGGGGAGTCCTGATTGCTGCTGTTCCCCAAATTTCACAGATACAACAAAGTTGTTGCCAATTGGTTAACCACAGGCAACCATTCTTTCTTAGATACCCATAAAAGTCTTAATCTAGAGAGCAGTCACTGCCCAGGCAATTAAGGAGGATATTTTTGGGAAGGAAGACATCAGAAGCTAATCAGTAGAAGTTTCTACCCTCTGCTTCCTGTGTCTCACTGGATCAGTTCTCATCCTGTAGTTACGCTGCACTGGTTATTTAGCTGTAGTAAGGACCCAAACCCTCACTGGGCGCAGACAAATTGTCTTTTGTAGTACACAGCCTTTAAAATAGTTTACACCTATGTATAGTCTAGAAAGTACTTTCCAATAAGGTAGCCATTAGTTAGATGTAACTATTTAAATCTGAGCTGATTAAAATAGACTAAAAATTCAGTTCCTTGATCACAGCAGCTACATTTCAAGTGTTCAGCAACTGAGGGTGCTAGGGCTACTGTACTGGACAGTGAAAATACAGACCGTGTTGGTCAACACACAAAATTCTGTTGGACAGTGCGAGTCTAGAAAGGTAATACCTTCACACTAAAGTCTTTTAGAGGCAAAAAATTCCTCATTCCTTAAAGGCCTAACATCTCTCTCTCCACATTACATGGCATTAAAACTTCCATGGATCCTACTTTTCTTAATCTTAGATCTTTAATCAACACAAACTCTTAGCGCACCTCCTTCCTCGTCACTTGATGAGGTATGATTCTTCAAGTTAGGCTTAGTTCCCATAGGTCATGAGAATCCGCAGCTCCTCCTCACTTACCTACAGCTTGTCCTGGAAACAAACCTGCTCCCGTGTAACAAACAAGCTGGAATTTGAAGAGGGATGTTATCTGTGCTGCTGAGTCATTGAATTGACTCAAGGAAGCACTGTAGGGGAGAAGCAGAAATGAAAACTGCATACAACCATTTCTGCTAGAGATTTTGCTATTTTGGTATTGGCCTGCCAAAAATAAGTCATTAGATGAACTGCTGGAATAATTTTGTTCTGGGAAGATGCCTTTTCCAGGCAAGATTTGAACTCCCAGTTCTTTACCCTGAGTTGTCCTCTGCTTTTGTTCTCTCAGAGAAAGGTTAATTTTACATAATTTTAAAGCTTTGATTCTTTTTTATGGAGGCAAAAATTTCTTCAGTCAAGGCCTTTTAAGCTCTCCCAGGATTATCAGTAAAATGCTTTGATGTTATATTTTTGTCTGAGAAGCAGACAAAACTAGATATTCCAGCGCCCACAGGATGACTCTAAATCCAGTTGGCCAATGGCGATCAGAAAGCATAAAAAAGCCTCAGAGCTTTTGCCTGAAGATGTGAGGAGACGTAAACCCAAAGTGCGGTTGTGTACTTCCCCTACAACCCCTCCCCCCAAATCCATGACTACTGTTTGACTGTTCAGCAGTTCTGATGCCAACGATTTACAACGGCGAGGAGCTGGGTCTGGTGAGTACAGGACTGGGCATGGAGTCAGGACTCCGGGGTGTCTGACTCACTGCAGAGCCTTGAGGAAGTCGTTGTCGTTTATACCTCCCCTGTGTCGTCCCTCACCTGCCAGAGGCAGGAGGGAGAGCAGGGTAGCGCTGAAAAAAGTCCGTTTTGCATCTACTCATGTTACAGATGGGCAAACCTAAATAATAATAATAATTAATAATAACACCCTCCCAGTGACACAGCAAATACACCCTCAATGAATTCATGTGTCTAGTCTGAGTCCCAGAAAACCCTACTTCCCTACCCGAGAGCACGAATGCGCACCTGTGATGTGGTGGCCGTGGTGTGGAGGGCTTGGAACGAGCAGAAGGTGACCAGATCTTTAGCTTCCCAGTTACTGGCAACTGCCCACACCTGCCCAAGCAAAACTGAAGCAAGAGTTGCCATAGGACTTCTCTTCCCTTCACCCTTAGGTCTTAACTCCAGGGCTCTCCTGCGCTGGATGGAAGGTGGGGGTGGGGTGAGAGGCGGTGATTAGTCACTAACTGCGGCGCTCACACCTTTTATATTAGTGTTGTTGTCGTCTCACCGCCAGAAACTACTCTGTAAACCACCCCTGCGTGCCCGCCTCCAGCCCCGCTTGTGGGTAGACGCTGAAGTGGGAACAAGGGTCTGTATGTGCGAGACAGGTGAGTAGACCACACGGGACCCCTGGACGCAAGCAGGCGTGGGGGCAGCGGCTGTCACTCGAGCCCCGGGGCGCTCCTGGGCGCCCCGCACGGCACGGAGACGCAGCGCGCACGCGCAGCGCCCGGTGCCCCGCGCGTCCCCCGCCAGCCAGCTCCCCCGCCCCGGGCCCCCCCTCGGGAGCGGGCGGCGGGGCGCAGGGAGCGTGCGCGCGGCCCGCCCCGGGCGCGGGCGGAGGCGAGAAGGAGGGGCGCGCGCGGCGCCCAACCCGCAGAAGCCCGGAGCCGCGCCGGAGGACGGAGCCCCAGCCGCGAACCGCGCCGCTTGGGTACGGGGGCTGCGGGCCTGGGGAGGGGGAGGCGGAGAGGGTGCGGCCGGGAGGGACGGAACCCTGCGCCCCCCCGGGCCTGGGGGTGCTGGCGGGCCCGGGAGGCCGGGACCCGCGCGGCCCTCATCGCTGCAAACTTTGTGCGTGCGCTCGCACCTGCTCGCGGCGGGGGTAAGCGAGGTCCGGCGCCCTCCGCGGCGCCCCCTCCTCCCCTCGCGCGCACCCCTGCTGCTCCCCCTCTGCTGCTGGCGCGCGACCCCCGCTCCTCCGCCCTCGCCCTCCTGCTCGCGACCCCTCTGCCCCTCTGCGGTGGCCTGTGGGCACCTCCTCACCCCGCCGTCATCGTCCACTCGCGCTAAGCTCCAAGAGCCAGGGCGGCTTTTGCATCCTCGCAAGGCTCCTGGTGCAGGGACAGAAACAACTTGAGTTTCAGCGATGCCAAGAATTCAACTTGAGTATTTCTCTGCGGCGGTAGATTAGTGTGCACGGTGCTAAGGTGTCTTTGGATTTCTCTCAAGTACTCTTGCTCCACAGCGAAGTTGAGTTGTTCGTGGGAGGTGGGAGGCAGGACGAGGAGGAGTTGCGTGGTGGTGTAGCCAGCCGTCTTAAAGTGGATTGTGTAACTATATTTTATTTAGGTGGATGTTACCAATGGTACCAGCTAGTGTTATGGTAACTGGGTATCCCGGAGGCAAGGGAAGGAGAGTGACTTACAAATGCAGATTTGCTGTATAGGGATTTTTTTTTTCTTTTAAAAACCTCTGTACTTTCCACCCAGCAGGACCTTAAGGCATTTGGCATGTGTTAACTCGTTAGCTGTTCATTATGGTTTATAATAGGTAGGTGGAGAGCATTGCTTTTCCGTTTTACACATGTAGAAAAACGGAGGCAAAGAGTAAATCCCGAGTTGTTTCCTGATCTCAAAGGAATATGGACCAAGAGATTTAACCCAGAGTTGCCTGGAATTCCTGCTCCTAAGTAGCCACTCAAAAGTGTAGTGGAATATTGGAACCTCCCCCGAGTGTGTGCGCATCTATGGCAGCGGTCGGCAGCTCCAAGCCTGCGGCTCAGCTGTGCCACAAAGTGAAGTGACGACAACGCGCCCCATCTCTGCTAATTTCCTCCCTATTTAAAGGAGGGCAGCAAAAGTGCTGTATTCTTTGCAAAGTTGTGTTTGGAAGCTCCACCCCCTGGAGCTGCAATTTGGTTGTTTCTTGTGGACGCATAAAGATTCCCCCCACCCCCGTCTCCGTTCCCTTGAGAAGTGGAGAGGATGAAGCACCCTTATAATGAATAACCATCTCCTTTCCCAGAAACACCTTAAGAATTCACATCAGACCCGGAGAGGGCCCCGAGAATTCCCTGGGGGAGGTAGGAAGGAGCCCTGCACAGGCGGCTTGACACATGGGCCCCATTCCTGCCTCCAGCTCTGACTCACCTTCTGACGCTTGGGGGAGGAGAAAGAGCTGCTTGGTATTTTTGGCTTTCCCCCATAAAACGGGAGACGGTTTCCTTCATTCCAACTCTTCTTAACATTAGTGCCGAACGCGTTTGTGCTGTGCTCTCATCTGAAATCTTTCTCACTGGTTGACGGAAGGTATGATTTCTGTGATATTCCTTAATATTATGGCATAAGGATATATTATCATACAACCTGGCCGGGTGTGTAAATCCAGGACATCCTGGATTAGCATTTTTAAAAGATAGGCTTTAGGGGAGGATAATGTTTGGTGGATTCCTTTGCAATTGGGGTTTTGTTTTAAGGCAAGATGGATTAAAATTTTGTTTTCCCAATATCACAAGAAATGCTTTGATCATTCTATTAAAAAATTAGAACTTCCCTAATGAGGTTAAAGCCTTCTTTTGAGCATCTTTTTTCAAAAGGCAACTGCTGTGTGTATCTCTCAGTTTGTGTTTATCTTTTTTTGGAATTTTTTTTTTTTAGCATTTTCCTAAATGTCTATTTGCACAGTGATTTTTTTAACTGAAATTTTTATTTTATTTTAAAGTTGACATGTCTCGCTTTCAGAGATTTGATTTCTGTCCAGAACAAGTAGCATGCTTCGTAACTACAATTCATTGTACAGTTTATTAACCCTGATGGCATGGCGGTATTTCTCAGGGGACCAGACAAGTGGTCCCTTCTTAAACAACTTCAAAGCAATTGAATCATTAGGATTGTAGGCTTTATTTTCAGGTGCAAAACTTTCCCATTAAAAAAAAAATCTAGGGCTAGTGTATTTGTTTCTTTTTTGCTTATAAGGAGGGATAAAAGGGAGTGGGAGGCAGGGCTAGAGTTGCTGAAGCAACGCAGCCTGGGTATAAACTTTCAGAGCTAGCATTTAAGGTGGTAGCTGTATTATTTATGAAAGTTTCACCGGGTGAAGACAAAGGAAGGAAAGGAGCGTGCTAATAGGGGCCAGTTCAATCAGTAATTTCAGGAAATGGCAGGCTAAAACAACATTTATGACAACAGTTTATGGGTTTATATAGTAAACATTTATTGAGGGCTGTGCTAAATGCTGGGGTAGAAGGCAGCTAAAGTTCCTGACCTTATGAAGCTGACAGACTAACAATGGTGTTCAGCGAGGGCTTGTTCTTTTCCTCAGAATAGCAAGAAGTATTGTCTGGATTACAAATTCCTTGACCTCAATATTGTGTTTATTTAATCTTTTTAATTGTGAATTATAACATGAAGAAAAGGTATAAAACAAATAGATAACTTCTACTTTAATGAAAACACAAGTGTAACTAATCACCTTGTAGGTCAAGAAACATCCTCCCTTATTCTGCCAAGGACAAATAGGTGATTACCCTGACTTTAACAGAAGTAACATCCCTGCTTTTCTATAGTTTTTACACCCCAAATATAAATCTCTTAAACAGCACAGTTATTTTTGCTTATTTTTCACCTCTATGCAATATTCTGTTGGTTCTTCTTTTGGTTGGTGTCATCTTCTACATAATACTATATCTGCCTATATACAAATGTTTGTTAAATTCTTGCAGCATGCTTTCTTTTTTTTTATGGTACTGGGACTTGAACTCAGGGCCTCCACCTTGAGCCACTCCACCAGCCCTTTTTTGTGTTGGGTATTTTAGAGATAGGGTCTTGTGAACTGTTTGCCTGGGCTAGCCTTGAACCACAATCTCCTGATCTCTGCCTCCTGAGTAGCTAAGATTATAGGTGTGAGCCACCATGCTGTTTTTTACAGATTCATCTCTGTTGTTGCCTGTAATTGCAGTTGGTTCATTTTTGCATGACCATACCACAGATTACCCGTCCTCTGTTGACAGATTCTGGTCTGGGGCAATTATGAGCAGTCTAGGTCAGGTGCACATATCTTCGGCCTTACTGGTTGATGCATTTTTTTCCAGAGTGGTTGTGCCAATTTACATTCCTTCAGTGGTGTCCACCTTGAATTCATAATGTACCGTCTTTGTGATTAACCACGGTATTCGTGAATATTTCTGAAATGAATCAATAAATGACACCTAGGCCATCTGATCCCTGACCTATCATGTACCAATGTATTTATGGTTACTCATGATTAGTTATATGGTTTGGACTAACATGCTAGCTATCCAAACTCCAGAAATGGTTTCACAATAGAATTTTTCCATTGATTTTTTTTTTTAAACTTACAAAATGAAGTCCTAAGCTGGGTGCCAGTGGCGTACACCTGTAATCCTTACTTCTCAGGAGGCAGAGATCTCAAGGATCATATTTTGAAGCCAGCCCAGGCAAATAGTTCTGAGAGTCCCTACCTTGAAAAAACCCAAGAGCTGGCGGAGTGGCTCAAGATGTAGGACCTCAGTTTAAACCCCAGTACTGCAAAAAAAAAAGTCCTAAAAATAAAATTATATAGTACCTAGGAGTCTTTTAAAGCTCTTGAGTGACTCCTACCTGTGGTGAAGGCTTGCCTGTGGCCAGTCCTAAAGGTGTGGAACAGTTGAGTGGGTGGTGTGCTTGCCTGTCTTTGCTGGAGGACCCCAGGACAGGGGTCTGCACATATTCCCTAAGAGGCCAGAACACTCACCTTGGCTGTACTTCCTCATGGGTTCCAGGTAACAACAGCTTGTATGTTACAGGAAGAATGACATTTCTGTGACCTTTAGCATGTACCTTTCTCAAAGTTGTCCTTTGTATGTGAAAGCAGAGAATTCCTGCTTTCTGAGCACACTGTTGGCAGACTTAGTTTGTATTTGGTTTTGCTATCTTGGATTTAAAACAGAGGGAGAGGGATAAGAAGAGAAAAGAAGAAGACAGGAAAAGTGAGGAGGTCATCTCACCACAATTACTGAGTTCAGGTCTTTGCTGAGTTCCTATTACGTGCTAACAGCCCTGTAATTCTGTAGGTTTACCTGGTAACCCTGGGGGAATCCTTTCATTAGCTGCAAGGATGATAGAACATTAGCACACAGCCCGGGACAGTTGTAGCTCCTTTTTATTTCTTCCACCAACCATCTTGGAAAATGGCTGAATTACTTTTATTTTCAGTCTATATCAGTCACAAAAATGCTTTTTTGCTTCTTAAAGGATTTTATGCAGCTTCTCTAAAATAATAACTTTAAAACTCAAATATGTATAAATTAGAACTTTTCAAGAAAACCACATTGGAGGAGGATTAAAAAGTATTGTGAGAACCTTTTAATCTGAGTGATGGAGGGCGGGAGTCCTGTTCTTTGTGTGCTTTGATATCTGGTCACCCCACCAGGGGGTGCTGGAGTTGGGGGCCAGTGACCTGTCAAATGCCCCCCGCCCTGCAGAGAGCAACTTCCAGGCCTGTTTGTTCTGCTTTTCCACTCCTTCTGCCACCTTGAACAAATGCTTATTTCTGCTTTGGTAGAGGGCTTCAGTGCAGATGGTCTGTAGCAGGTTTTTTTTTTGACTCCTTAGGCCATTGAGCTTGTGGGTATGTAGGAGAACAGTCTTTAACCAGAGAGGACAGTGTGCAGCAGTAGCTTCCTTCCCTGGAGCATGAGACCAGGAGGTGAAC